AAAGGACAAAACCTCTCGCCCACAGCCAGTGGTGCCTTTGCTGGAGGCGCCTCCGAACGTTTTTTTTCCAGAATCGTCACTTTTTTTTTTGTCTTTAATGATCATGTGGGGAAATGTCTCGTCTCTGGTTCCTCCCCACTGCTTTGCTGCTTTTCCCCACCCGAGCTGTTGCATCACGGAGGTGTGTGAGGCTCTAATTACTGCAGGTTTCTGTGTGTGTGTGTGTGTGTGTTTGTGAACAATGTGCCAGCGGTAGAGACAGAGGTGTGCACTTCTTCTTTTTTTCTGCTCTCCCCAAGGATGCAGTAGACAACATTTCCTCCTATGTTTCTGCATTTTCGGAAACCACAAACCTCCCTTTTTTACTTTTTAAATTAGTCTATTCTCTTATTATGTTTTTATTATCTTTTTTATCCTCCTCTCCTCCCACTGTACCGCTCAACTACAATTAGCGATGCTGGCAGGAGACCAAGAAAGCTGACGGGGCCCTGCGGGCATTTGCAGATGAAGACGGCTCTGGGCAGGGTCAGGCATGATTTGGGTGAGAGGAAGAGAGGCAGACGTTCGGTTTCTCTTAAACCATGTGATCAGCGGCGTATGGGCCCGTCTGTGAGCAGGTTACTAACCACAGGGCTTCCCTCTGCTGCTGGAACGGTACGCATTTCTGTTTTGTCCTCTCAGACATCTGACCGATTTCCCCTCAGGGATTCATCATTACATGTTTCACAAGCTGTTTAAAAAAAAAAAAAAAAAGCCTCCCAAATAGTTCCCTTTGTGTTTCTGATGCCTCAGGCAATACAATGGCGAGCAGTTGAAACATCTTTAACCCATTATTTGTTTGTCATAGTTGGAAAAAGTGGAGGAGAATGAATATTTTGTGTAGTTTGTCGTCTGTCTGTGTGAGGGGAACAGTTGTCTAATCCTCAGCTCCGGCCGCCCCCCCCCCCAGTCTGAAGTAGCTCTGAAATCCATTTCAGATTTTCCTTTTAACTCTTGCAAAATGGTGAAGGTACAGAGTGTACTTGCCGAGATGGGGCATTTCGGGTGGGGTGGACTGGATAGGGGATCCTTTAAAACAAACTACAAGCCACTGGGTTTTTGTAGAAAAACCTTTTGGCTCCGAAGGAGATGGATGCGATTAAAGTGACCTCCCAGCTGTAGAATGAACTTAAACCAGTAGTTTCAGCCTGATTAAAAGTAGTTTAAAGTATTTTCTTGTGCTTCAATCGGCTGTACTTGGCCTCGTCTAATTGCAGAGCAAACGAGAGGGAAACTTACCTGTTGAGATTCTCAACTCTTCTCAATCACGAAATTCAGTGTAGTCTCAAGTTACTTTAAATTCTCCTTAACACGCCCTTTCCAGACTCCCTCGGGTTCAGCCATCACTGGACGACCGAATCTTCCCCACACAGCCTGGAATCGCTGTCTACAGCGTGAGTCCCCTCATTCAGAAGTTTACGGTCACTTTAGATGAAATGGAGAGGGAAGGCATTTTAAGGCATTTTAAGAAACGACTTCTAAAGAAAAAATGTATCATACCGTGATTCTATCGAGTCTTTCTTGTGAAACGGTGCTGCAAATATGTCAGGTCTAAGCACAGGAAGTCCACTTTGGCCTTTTTAGGGAAGATCACAGCATGAGAGGGTGCATCTGCGTCTTTTTCTTTTTGTTTACAGACCAGTTAAAAAAAAAAAAAAAGGGGGTTTAAAAGAAGGGGCCCTGACCAAAAGGGTCGGGTTTGCTGCGTCGTTGCCTCTGCCGTTCTCTGCCTGCTCAGCAGCTGGGAAACGCGTCCAGGAGGGCTGAGTGACGTCTGTCTCTGCCAGACACTTCGCTCACACACACGAGACATCTTTCTTTTTTTCTTTTCTTTTTTTTCTTCAAAGGGAAACAAAAAAAAATCTTCATCAGAGTAGAGGGGCAGCAGCTGCTTAAATATTTGACATGAACAATGTGTGAGACCGTATTTGTGTCAAGGTTGAATGGGGGCGGGGGGCTTAGGGGCTATAGACGTCTCTGGGTGTTAGATGAAGGTTACAGTGTGTCACCCGAAAGTTTTAATTCATTAAAGTTTAGTTAATTATTGCAGGTTTTTTTTTCCTTTTTGGAAACCAGTATGTTAAAAGTTTAAAAGAAGCCAGAAACGTACATTTAACCAGATCTGAGGGCACTCACAACAGTGGGTATTTCCTCATTTAGCATCCTGGCTTTCCGGAAGGAAAAGGAGGGTTATTTGTGCCCCTCATGGTGGGCAGCGGGGGTCAGCAGGTAGTAAGGGGACTAGCCATGCTGTGTCCACTCTGTCATGTGAGCAGAAAAAAGAAAACCTGAAGCTTTTGTTTGCCTGAAATTATGAGAGAAAAAGAGAGAGAAAAAGCAAACAGGGGTTTGCAGAATCTCACATTTTGATCCGGAAAGGAGGGAGGGGGGGGTCGTCCAGTTTTGGTGAGGCCCCGCTCACACGGCTGCTGCTCCTGGTGGGGCCTCCCCTTTTGTTCTGTTTGCGCTGTAAAACTACGTGTAAATCAGTGAGAAACGAAGCACCTGTTGGTTTCATTTTCATTGAACAGATTTTTCCCTCATGAAATGAAATGACGGGCTGGCATTCACTTGGCACAAATGCAGAGTTTGGGGACCGTATTTTACTATTGCTTTTGCCTTTCATCCAATCCTTAAAAGCTCATCAGAATGGTTTAGGAATATATCTTGAAAATACAAAGCAGTTGTTTTTAGTATTTTCTGAGATGTGGGCGGCTGAGCGAGCAGCTCTGCCTCAGGAATGCCACTGTGTTCTGGGAGAAAGGCCGTGGATCTGTGAGCTCCGTTACGGGCGACAACACAGAGTACCGAGAGCATTAAAGGTTTCATAAGATTTGGTGCTTTGAAAGTTTGTTCCTGGGGGGGGGGATGAGGCTCTGAGAGGGACGAGACGGGTGGAAATAAACAGCACTTGAGGCGTTATGCTGTTTGTCCGTGTGGTGGACGTGGGGTTTTACTCCTTTTCCCTTTTCAGTTTTTTTTTTTTTTTTTTTCCCTCCCCCTCTTTCTCTTCATGTACAGCTCCCATACAGCCGCTTACCTCCCCTCCCCCACCTCATCACACTGCGCTGTATGTCCTCGGACTCAGCTACAGGCCTGAAGCAGAGCAGGCTCCTCCCCTGGCAACAGCAGCAAGTTGCTTTGTCCCAGGTCATCTGAGGAAAGTGGGCCATCCCCGAGATGATGTGTAGATGCTTCGAGGCATTGATCCCATGGATGCAGCGGGGGAATTTTTAAGCGGAATTTACACTCTGATGTGTTAGTTGTTGCCTGACTGCGTCGTATTTATGTTTCATCTCTTTTAAAATTCGGCTTTTTGTTTGTGGACAAAAAAGAAAAAAAAAATACCGGAGAGATAAGAGTTGATTGTTTTGGCCAGCTCGATGTCTGCTGGCTGCTTCCCTCCTGCAGTATCCTGCTTCAGTCCCTGGTGTGTCAGGCCCTCTGCAGCACCTGCAGTGGAGCCTGCCCACAGCCGCAGCAGCCAGCCGGCCACGCCGCAGACCAGGAAAAACAGACTTTTTCCTGATTACGTTTCACTCAGTTGCTGACTTAACAGCATTGTGCGTCTAATAGAAAATCATTCAAAAGCTGATAAGTCTCTTATATTACCCTCAATCTATATAGCTAATTTAAGAATAATCAAACGCAATCAGTATGTAGTATTTAGAGGAGAAAAGGAGGTGGTTTAATACTCGGATTACTTCACTGTTCTCCTGTTTAAGATAAAGTCAGTTAGCCTCGCTCGCTAACGTCTCCAGAATATTTTTTTGCCGCTGGATTAGCAGAACTGTTGACACCTGTGTCGTTCTGATGGATTTCATGTCCCGGTAAATGGAGCTCATGTGTCATTTGTTTCTTATTAGTATCCAGAAAAGCCTCCACAATCCCTCATGAGCTCGCAGAGATCCCACACAGAACAAAACAGCAGAAAAAGACTGAGAAAAGCAGGCCTGGTTGAAAACTCAGGGCCAGCATCAGCTACCGTCTCCAACACGATTTAAGAAATGAATACAAACGTTTTAGAGTTTAATTATTAGCTATAAACATGCTGTAATCACACTGATTGATTTAATTGGGTGTTATTTTAAAAAGAGCGTTTCTATGGGAATAGAGGCCCTTTGTTGCTCCAGATTAAAATGATTCAGAGAAGCATACGGTGCCTCAGTCAGAGATGGGAAAAGATCTGAGGGGGGTGCTTTAATTTGGATTTGAGCAGAGATGTTGTCGAAGCTGCAGTAAATGTGCTGCTGTGGCCCACTTTGTGTGTCTGAGCATGATCAGTCATTGATTATCGGAAGGATTGGTCCCTCGTGAATGAGGCTTGGAAAGTAATAAAGCCGGTTTCCAAAGTAGAGGAGAATCATTCCAAATGTTATTTGAATATAAATCGTCCCCTTCAGTGTAACTTGTGTCGTGTCAGCAGGAAGACTCGAAGAGTAGTTCTGAAAAATCTCTGAGGTCTTGTTTTTATTTATTCGTGCTTTTTTGAAATCGACTCATTTCGTAAGCTGCCGAGTTGCTGTCAAACTTGTATGTATCGAGCATCTCGGCCACACACCGAGAGCTCCCCGATTCCCACCCAGAGTCCTGCGTTGGCTTATCTTAATGAGGCTTGTTTAGCATGACTCCGTTATATCTCTCGTACCTGCTGCTCTCTATCTATTCCAGATGAGCGGAGTTGTAATGTGATTACCTGACCATCCCTTGGTCTAAGAATCCGTAGCCTGTGCAGTCGGAGCTCTGCAGCCCGCTGTGTCGGTCCCCATGAGGCCCCAGCGGGCTCCTTGGGCTGCAGTCTTCACCTCTATACACACACACACACAGACTAATCCTTCTGCCTGAGTGCTTAATTTACACCCCTCAGCAGGAGGGAGGACTAATGACCTGTCAAGTAGCAACACTGCTGTCCGTCTCTGGCATATCTCTGACACATCTTCTTTTTTTCTGCATTAGGCTAACTGCTGCCTCCTCTCTCGCAGGTACCCAGGCATCCTGGCTCTCCTTACACTGCTCACGACATCACAAAGGGACACCCTAACTTGGCGGGAACCCCGCCCGGTCATGCCCACTCCCCGGCGCTCTCTCAGGTATCAGTACCCACAGCTTCTCCATATCGCTACCCTAAGGGCTGGGAGGCAGGCGGAGGGGTGAGTTTGTCGCTGCGGCCGCCGTCATCCTCTCTGCATCCTCTCGTTGGTCTCCTCATTTGTCCTTTCTGTCTGTGATCTGTCTTGGGAGATTGGCGCGTCACTTCTTTTTGTCTCGGTGAACCTCACAAGAAGTCTCCCGATAGTCTTAAAAAAGGATTTACTTGTTCAAACTTGGAATGCCTTCATCCACATCTGCTTTTCACATCTTTTGGTTTCGAGTGTATCTTTCGTCTGTTTCGCTGCATTTATGATTTGGGTGTTCAGCTGTGCACGAGTGTGGCGTTTCTGCGGCGTAGGATCAAACCAGATTTAGTCTTAAAGCCCCTCCAAACACGCCGCTCGCCCTTGAAGTGACTGAGTCGGCTCCCTGCAGCTTTTCTGTAGCACCTCAGCTGCCAGGCTCTGAGTTTCATACTAGTGTCAAGGATCTGAACTCGGATCACACTAAACATAAACAAGACCAGCAAAAGTTCCTTCATTGGGCATTTAAGCAGCTACTTTGAAGAAATCTGACACATTTTCTTCTTAAATAACAGCGCTGTGGTTTCCCTGGATAATTACCACCTAGTTGTATTTGTTTTAGTCGTTCCTTTTTTTTTTTTTTAAACGGCAGCCCTTGTCAATCCTGCCATTTAAACCGTAATCTGTCAGAATCCAGTCAGAGTTCTCTCTAACAGTGACTTTTCCTGTCAATGACCTGATGATGTTTCAAACATTCAAAGCTCAGCTCAAACTCTAAAATTGACTGCTAAAGTTTTCTGATAACATGATGTTTTTCAGAGCCACAGTGTTACATTGATTTAAACTGCCCCAGAACAGATGTTTTATCTTCACAAAAACAGGTTCTGTACAGTTTATTCCCACCAAAATGGCTTTATACCACGAGATCAGACTTTAAAATCAATAACAAATGCTTGTGGATGCGCACCGGAGTCTACAAAGTGGTGTTTATGATGCAGGATGTATGAATGCCTGCTGAAAATCAGCACAGCAGGAAAAAGTAAATGAACACTGAGCTCTTGTTCTTTTCCTGCTGCGTCCACTTCACGCCCCGGTAGCAGCTCAATTTTTTTTCCTTCTCTCTTGAGCGGTGTAGATGCTCTTTCCCTCGCTGCCTAAACACTGTCCAGTTAGGATCGTTAACCTATAAGTGATCGATGCCCGAATGATAGACAAACAGGCATTTAATGGGTTTTATATGCAGTACACACCTGCTGCTTTATCCTTGTAACGCTGGCGACTAGGGAAACCTGTCGTGCATATGACTAAACAAAGATAAACACTCGAGCAGTGTTAGGCAACAAGTGTGTCACCTGTCCTATGCGCACTCACTTTCATATCTAAGTGATGGTAGGCTTAACCCAGAACACTCTTATCTTACCAGTAAAGGCTCACTGATTTCAATGCGAGGACTCTGACTTGTAGTCACATTATCTTCCTTTTCAACGAATAGTTTCCTCTTCTGTAGGATTTGGCTCTTGGGGTAGTGAGCAAAGTTACACACTGAGCATGAGTGGGTGAAACATTTCATACACACAGGGGTTGGCTCGGGGTGGAATATGTTAATGATCTCCCCTGGCTGGGGTTTTCCCTCTCTCCCCTGGCTGAGTGACATCAATCCACTTCTGATGGAGATGAGATCGGGCAATCATAAAACAAAGAGAGCGATAAAGCGAGAATAAAGCCCAAACGAGTACCATTAGGTGACTCAACCATCGTTGGCACACTCGAATCAGGGCATTTACATCCATTGGGAGAACCCTACCTACTGGTGTGAAAGGTCAAGGCCTTAATCACAAACATTATCAGGTGACACAGCTGCGGCCGCCTTCCCGCTCCGGCTTCCAGGCATGTTGACACGATGACTCAGTATTTATCGAAGTACACAAGCCTGTTAAAGAGAAGTCTAGTTGTTCTTTATTATCGCTGTAACATACTGGTCCACTACCTAGCCCTAAAACTTGTCCAAGTGTCTCACCAGCCGTCTATAAATAGTCTTGGCAGCACCTCAGTTCTCATAACCGTACTCAGCAGCTCGAGGAAAGTAAAAGATCCGCTAAAATCATGTGCTGCCACACTCGAAGGAGAATAAAGAAGCACAGGTCTACAGGGTACCAATTATCTCCACTAAGTACACCAGCCCTGATTGAAGAGGCTTTCTTCCAGCAGCGTCCGCTGCGATGTGTGTTGCATTGTTCCGCCGCTCAGCTCCTGTAACGTGTGAAATGTCATGATTGGCCGGTGCTCAGTTTTTCTGGTCCTGGTCAGTAAAGCAAACCCTGTCCTTCTGTGTGTTTCCATTTCTTCTTTCGACAGTCTCCGTATAACCCCGGGCAAAATGCTGGCTCCGCTCCTTTAGTGTATTCTGCCCAGACACAGCCAATGAGTGCACAGCCACAGAGTCGCCCGGTGAGTCTCTCTCTAATACCAGATTTCCAGCAGCCCTGCCTGAAAGGGTTGATGGTTTTCTGTTTATCCTGACTGCAGCTGCAGAGACACATTTGATGACTGAATGGAAAAAGAGCTCCTCTGTTTTCGAACCTCTGTGAGCCTAACAGTTGTTGACAGATGTTAGTTTGATCATGCCGTCAAGGTTCTTTAACTTAATCATTATTAGTTTAATGAGGTCTCCTTCTCTTCTCCTGGGCTTTTTGTGGGCGGGTTGAATTTTGCAGCGCGTGTCCGGCACAAAAAGACTGGACCGGTCATCAGTGGGACAGCTCCTGTCTTACCTTTCAGTCACTGCTCAGGGGGAGGCACTTTGAAGCTATTGTTAAGGTTTATATCTGTCTGTGTTAAGTTTTATTCTAAGCCCTAAAGAAATGTCCTTGAAAATGGCAAGTATCATTAAACAACGACATCTGTCCCGAGCTGACCGAGTGCAGACAGGACCCTCTGAATAGCTCTGTGGCTTTGTCCGACCTCCACACTGAGGTCTCAATTCTAAGCTGAATTCACTCGGTCTGAAGCACTCATTTTGGACATGTGTTGTCCCATTTGAGTCAAACTCACCGCTGCACTCTCCTTTGTTCCAGTTGATATGAACGTGAGTGATTTCAATGGTGATTTTTGTCCGCTGTCACAAGACAGTTGAGTTGAGTTGGAAAAAATAAAGCGAGATCTGTGAGCTCAGCTGTAGTCTTTGTATGCCCAGCACTACAAACAGTTTATCAGCTTTTCTGTGTGCTTGTTGGGGGGATTTTGGAGCAGGTGCAAAGCGCCCCAGCCAGTTTGCATCCAGTTGAGCCTGTACATGCAGGAATAATTTGACTTCCAGCAGCGTCATATCTGTTACTTTTGCTTGTATTTCAAAACTCCTGTTGGGAACGACTAGAGTCTATATATATATATATTTGTATATGTTCATGAAAGTCACTGAGTAACATAAACTATGTTGTAATTGGGGGTAAAACGTATCATTTCCCTGTAAATGCTGTAGCTGAGGACATTGTGCACCATGTGTTTTTGAAGCTTTGTTGCCATGTAGTTCTGTATTGGTCTTCCCAGCATCCTCCTCCATCACTCACCTTAAACTGTATCTGTGTCTCTCTTTTGCTCTTTCCTCTCCCCGCTTTGCCATCACTGCTTCAATCTCCTTGCTGGACCTCTCCTCCCTCCCCCACCAGTTTGCTACGGGCCCTCGACCAACCCACCATCAGGTAATTTACCCCCGCTGAACGCCCCTCCTGCTCCCTCTTTTGCATCATCACCATCAAAGCAGTTTGCTGGTCCCCGCTGACATAGAGCTGCTTGTTGGGCATCTGCTGCTTCCTATTCTTTAAGAAAAATCTAAGAAACTCAGATTCAATGGCATTTAAGAGGTTTTGAATAAAATAAAAAAATAAAAAAAGCTTGTAGTAATGATACCCAGCCGTGTGGAAAGCCTGTGTCTAACCGTTGTATCTGTGTCTGAATGCAATCACATGGAAGTTGGTTTTAATCTCACTCGTTTCATATCATGTTTGAATGTAATGATGCATATTTTCGTCCTAGGCGTGAGCTCAGGGGGAAAAAGTGGACTTTGTGATTGAACCTATGCTGACTCGTGTACGGCGCTCTCGCAGACCAGCAGCGCCGCTCTCGCTTCTAATTTCGTCTTTGAATGTGACATTCGTACCCGTTCCGTAATGCAGCTTTTCAAACAGTTGTTTCAATCATGAGGTCGCGATCGCAGAGAATATCAAAGCTGTCCGTTCCTGCTTGTCAGAGTTTCCACATCTTTTTCTACTGATAGTTTTAAGATGATTTTTCTTTGAGTTTTTATCAGCCCATCCCTTTCAGAGCTCAGAATGATGCTCAACTCTCCAGAGGGACCAGTGTCTCTAAAGATGGAAATGGTTCCATGTCTGTGCCTTCACTGATTGAGGTGGTTAGGTTTGGCAATGAGATTTAACTCCAGGTGTCAACCAGCTGAGGTTATCTGCAAATACTCACCAGCTCCTTTTTAGTGCAACCAAATATGGAAACGCATTGGATGTCCATTTAAAGCCAACAGACGGCAGAAATGAGGCGCAAACTGCAGGCACCACTGCTGCGCCACCATTTAACACTTTGAGTCTACGCTTGTATGTAGCCTTTCCAACATACCACTTTAGAGGGACAAAGTAAAACTGCCGAGCATATCCTGCCATCTGTCGTTTGTGAGCTCCTCTTCAGGAGGGCTGAACAACTCGGCTGAAAGAAAATGGGGATAATCATTTACATATTCACGCGACGGCCGCTTGACAGTGGCTTTAGTGGTGCCTGCCATGCAGGGGCTTTTATTTATTTATTTTTTATTCATCTGAGTGTTTGTTGTTAACTTTTAGTCTCAGGAATGGACAAAGCCCAGCAGAACATTTCAGGCTGTTTGAAGCTGTAACTAAACATGGACCATTGCCATTAACCAGGCATTCAGAAAGGTTCTTTCAAATAAAACCCAGTGCAACGGTTCCTAGAAAGTGTTTCATAACATGACTGTGGAATGCACATCCCTTGTTGTTAAAAAGGATCTAAAATGTTGTATTCAAACAGGCTTCCAGTTAGAGCTATTTCATAACATGATGTTTGTTTCCATGTATTTATTTTAATCATTGGAGCTCTAACTGAGAGAGAAAAGCCACTGTAAAAACAACTGTCGGTTCTCATTGGACTGAACGTTTTTTTTGTTTTCTTTTAAACCAAAGAGCTGCTGTGACGTGTGACTCATCCAGAAGCAAGGAGTTCTTTTAAAAAAACAAACAAAACCGAAGCAGGGCCGTTTGTATGCCATTTGCCTTAAAGAGGAGGCAATGGCTGCTGAGGAACTAGCCTGAAAACCAAAGTTGGGCCGTCGTCACTTCAAAGGGAAATCTGTGAGAGTTTAGACTGTAACACCCTCGTGACACCTTTTGTTTTATTGTGTCAGTGAGAGCTTTGCGACGCAGATCTATTCACAGTCTCAGCAAGAACAGGTCTAAAGATGTTTTAAGGAAAAAAAACTTTTATTAAGTGCGAGTCCCTCCTTATTTAGGGATGGAGGAAACAGGGCAGCCAGTGTCCAGGTAGGCTGTGAGTCAGACTGCGCTCTGTATTTGTCTGCGTTCCCGTCTGACAGTGCTGTAAATAAAGTGTGTGTAGACTCTGAGGGGCGCGGTGACGTGTTCCCGTCTGGCCCGTTCAGTTTCTGCCGCGTCGCCTTTTGGACGCCGAGAGCCTCCGGCGCGTCTGGGCACAGGCATTCAGTCCACGCGGCTTCCTGTTAGCTTTGCGTTTGATGATATTCATGACACCATTTCGTGGGACCGGCTCGGTGTAACTTCGCTGTCCCACACGCTCACCTTCTGGAAGCTTCTGTGTGGACACATTGGAAACGGACTATTAATAGTATGGTGTCAGAGTGTAACGAGTGTGCTTGCCGGGCCGCGGTGTGTGTGTGTGTACACACACTCGTGTGCGTGCTCTGGCTGTCACAAACTGGCGCTGAGGTTCCTTGTGCCACCACGGAAGTGGAATCGGATAGCAGATGAAGCGGAACAGTCGGCCTTTATGCTCACGGAGAATACAGCTATTGTCCTCCTGAAACGCACTCAATGCAGAGAAAGGATGGATAAAAAAAATTTTAAAAAATGCCAGAAATCAATTTGGCCAAAATGAACCCGTCTGAAGCAGAACACCTAAGGATAACTATTATTTCCTCCTGAGCTCCTCAGAGTAGATTACTGCAGGGTCATAATTTTAACAACAATCACCTTTGGGTGTCATGCTTGTTGCTCAGCTGCCTGTGAGCTGTGTGTTTATTGTCATAGAGAGCTGTTAATTGAGATCTGATTGCAGACGGGGGGGCTCAGATGGGGTTTGGGCCAGTGTGAACACGCCCTCAGTGGCTCAGGAAGCGTGTTAAAGCAAATGGGAGCTGTATCAGTCGGGTCAAACAGGGGTTGGAGAACCACAGTCCCCGAAAACAATGAACAAAAAGTGCACGTTGGCCTTAGCAGACGTGTGCACGTGGATTTATTTGGCCTAGTGCACGTCACACATCAGCCACTACTACAAAGTACTATACAAATACTGGGCTTTAATTCATCTTAATAACTTTTAAATGTTAAAAAAACATTTTGACTGTTTTCTAATCTCCCGTTAGATGATTAGGAGGAAAGGGTTAAAGACTCATAATCTGGAGCAGAAAGGAGAACATTCTGGTATTTCTTTTCTGGTTTATCCAAAACCCAGAGCACTTTAGTGATGGAGGGTGAAAGCCCTAAGCCTGGTGTAGTTTTTTTTGTCCTTTCTTTCTTTTTTTCAAAGCTAACTCCAAGCTAGAAATACAGCCAAGTCAAATACAATTGGTTTGTCTTCAATCACCATAATGTAAAAAAATGTTATGTACGGTAATTATTTTGTCTCGAGAGGTAATATGCCTGCTTTCACTTTGTTTTTAAAACATGATGGATTCTCAGGCTCAATTTGTTATTTGTAGCTATAGGTGACCTGGTACAGTGCACTTTAGATTTAAAGCGTAAGGAGAATGTTGCTAAAAGCTGAGCAGATCTGAAAGCTGAGATCATTTTTAAGCTTACATGCAGATTTCCACTCACTGACTCTTCTTGGCTTTATTATGAATGAATTCCGTGAATGTTTCATCTCCACGTACACCAGCTGTTTGGCACATGGCACATCAGAGAATGATGTGACATTCCGACTTTTTCCACGGTGACACCCACTCTCTGACAAATCCGTCATCCGTCCGGGGTAGTCTTCTGCTAAATGTGCTGTTTTCTGTTGACGATGAAAGTGGATGTGCATCAGTCACTATGACAGGTGGATGGAAACAAGTGAGTAGTTTCCTGTTTATGTGTGTGGTTGCTGAAATCTCACCAGTGCGTTACTCCCATTGGCTTCTCTCTCTTTCCTGCTTTCAAAAACCCAAGGGAGGATTCAGGCCCATCCAGGTAACATTCATGTCACTCTGTGTCCCGTCTCTGCAGACCTGCATGGCATGCCGAGGATCACCCTGAAATAACCCCGTCTAACCTCATGCCCCCCCCACGTCATCTTAACCTCAGTTACACGTTCAACTTGGAATACTTTCATTATCATTTTACCCCCCTTTGTCCTGTCTTTTTCTTCCCATGGAGGAATTTTCAGTTCAGACATATAATATATCCCCATTCATTACTCATTGTTGATGCACAGTAAAGTTAACTGCATGCCTTTCCAGAGAGATGCAGATAATTTCTTTCTAAAAAAAAAAGTAGTGATTTTATTCTTTTATTTAACTCCTTTTTATGTCCTTTTTTCTGATGAAAAGTATGTAAATGTGTGCTGAAGAATGCACTTGTTTTCCTGAGTTTGAGAGCTGTTTTCGGTCGACAGTGTTCAAAAGTTTCTTCTGCCTGATTCTTGCACTGCCAGCACTTTTACCTTGACCGTCTTCAGGTGGCTGGTAATGAACAGCTTCCTGGTCATTTCCCAGATTTCGACAGAGCTATTAAGAATAAAGCCACCAAGGCTGCTTTATCACGTTGAAGGTGATTTCCCTCCAGGGTATTTTTAGATAGTTTTATGGCATTGTTTGTTCTGCTTTCCCTCACTGGAGCACGCTGTGGCTGCTGATTCCCAGCCTGAACCCCAGCTGCTCAGAGGTCTATCATGGCTGCTGGTAGTGGTCTCTCCTCTGGATCTAGAGCCGGAGTTTTATGAGCCTATCCCCATAAAGCTCGGCTCATATTAAACTTTCAACCTTAAAACAGGCTCTGTAGGAGTCACTGTTTTTACTACTGTTTTCTACTGGGGGAACGGCACCAAAAAAGTAAAGGTAGCTGAAGCTATTCTGCTGTCTAAGAGCTTTATTTGTTACAGCTGTGTAGTCTGGTGCAGACAGACTTAAGAAAAAGAAAGAAAAAAAACGGAGAAAAAAAACTTTGGGCTTTTCCGCTTGAAATTTTCAACGGTTTCAACAGGAAACCACAATCAGGTCTGTCTCCGGTCTGCCTCACTCATAATAAGAATTCAGACGTCCAACTACAAGTAGGACTGATTTACGCCATTCTCACAAAAACTCAGGATTACTTTACAAATCACAAATACCTCCACGGTCACAGTGGAGTTCACACCTCAGTGTTATAACCACACTGCTGTTAAGGATACTCGGCCATATATGTAGTTTAGAGTATCAAGTCGAAAGGGTGCGAAAGCCACTGGGCAGCGCCACCAGTCCGGCAGCAGCCACCATTTTGTGATGCTGCGCCTCGGCCAGGTCGGGTCAATGAGAGAAACTTTGACGCGATGTGCCTTCCATCGATCTCAAAGCATGCCCCGACAGACCGGAGAAACTGTTGTTTTATTGGTTCCTGGTGAAGGGAGGACTCGTTAATGGACCGGTTCCAGTCATGCCCCTTTTGGTTTCTGTAACTCCAGTCGTGTTTTGAGGGCTTGTCTTTGGTGGATTGTGGGGTGTTGTTTAGAGGCTGTGCTTCTTGCCGAGAGGACGATTCATAATGTGATTTCTAACATGCAGAGGGATGTTTTATGTCTGCAGGGGATTTAGGGTGAATATGGGGGCAAACTAGTGTGCCCGTCTGGGTGAAAATCACTTTTACCTCTCATAATGGATTTGAAGGAATGTTGTGAGTACAGCAAAGATGGCAATAATGAAATTCAGATTTTATGCTGCAGATAAAAGCTGAGCCGAACTGTAAAAAAAGGCTGGAGGCATTCTAAAAATCATAATGTCTGGTGCTGTAGATCGAGCATGGCGGCATTGAACCCACAGCCTCCGGGAAAGCATCTGATGTATCTCGTTTCTCTCTTTTTTTTTTTTGCCTGTTCCCCCTCAGTTTTTTCAGAGGACTCAGATGCAGACTCAGAGGCCCACCATCCCGACAAACACGCCCTCCATACGGCCCGGCTCCCAGGCTCCCACAGCGGCCGTCTACCCCACTAATTCAGCAATCGTGATGACTATGGCACCCATGCCTTTCCCTTCACCACAGGCTGCGCAGTACTACATCCCACAGGTATAACTGGTACATCTCAATATGGTTTGCTGCCATTTAATGTGCCAGCCTCTTTGTTTTAGAAGATGCGTACTATTAGAATTAAAGTCTTAAGAAGAAAAGGTGAGTTTTTTTATTTTCTAATGTTTCCTCTGACACCGGACAAACTAGATTTTAAACCTGCTCGCAAATTGTTTTGCCTCCAATGTAAAGATCAGTTCCATTCGGTGTCGGGTAAGCTTAGCTTAGCAGGACACAGGAATCCACTGCTCCTGGTCTACACAATGGAATCAGCTCATAGACACATGTTTTTAAATGGTGCCTTTAATCACTACAACACAGCTAATTGAATCTGTTTTCACTGTAAACTGTGGCATGTTTAAACCCAGTTCACCTCTTCCTGGCCTCAGGGGAAAAGCCTCTCATGACACAGTTTTTGATAATGACTTTCTGACATAAATGGTCATTTGTGACTGGAGGTGGGGGTGCAGAGCCACACGGTGTGACTGAGAGTGAAACGCCAGCTGTCATTATGACGGGCTCAGGTTTTTCCTCACGGTTTGTTTTAGCCGCATGTGATTTAACACCATGTTGAGTCTGTTGTACGTTTTAATCATTTGATCACACTCTGTGGCTTGGCTTTAAGCCAAAGTCTGTGGCCACAATATATTCAGCCGACAGATATGACGGTGTCCTCCTATAACATGAAACAACTGGTTGTCCTTTGAATACCCCAGATGCAGCTCCGACTCTGTTAGCATTAGAAATTTCTCTCTGTACAATCGATAGATGTCTTATGCTGATTTATTTAGAGACTGTAACGAGAGCTGGAATTAAATGCATGCGCTCTACGATCCACCGGCGTTTGCTTACTTTAATTCTTTAATGATGAGTCAAAGAAGCTTCTAAGAGTTTATCAAGCTTGTTGATTCAAGTGCAGTTAATAAAATGGATGTGAATAGAATTTAAAGGTAGTCATTATTTGCATGCTTGCTAATGTCTCCCTGTACTTTCAGTATCGCCATAGCACGCCCTACGTGGGACCCGCGCAGCAGTATTCTGTGCAGCCACCCAGTTCTGGCACCTTCTATCCTGGTCCAGGACCAGGGGAATACCCCTATCGTGAGTCCTACTGTACTATTCCGGCAGCAGTCCCCAGCGCACAGTCACACAAATACACATGACCTCATCAGTCTTGTGTGACCATAGAGTCGGGGCCACGGCTCTCTTTCACTAACGCTTCTCTTCCCCTGTCTTTGTTTTTTCTTTCCCTCTAAACCCGTGCAGATCACCTCAGGTACCACCCTCCTGTCTCACCCTCTGTCCCTGCTCCCGTTCCCACAGCTGGTCCACCGTACTACCAAGGACAGACACTGTACAACCCCTCTCCCCCTATCATAGTGCCTACACCACAGCAACCTCAAGCATCCAAGCGTGAGAAGAAAACAGTGAGTACCTTAGTACTTCCATCGCTTCTTTTTTTTTTTGGTTTGTTTGGGGGGGGTTTTTCTCGCTTTTCTTTTCTGCTGGACATGTTTGACAGACTTGTTCGACTAGTCATCAGTGATGGTGTCTTTGGAGCATTCATGGACAAGGTATTTGTGGAGCTTTCCATGGTGTTGTGTGTTATGAACTCCATTAGTGGAATGAATCGGCTCAGTTGTGGGTCACAGTCATTTCCTGAAAGGTTTTTGTTTTTCTCCACTTTTTAAAGACAAAGACCCAAAAGGTTTTTGGCTAATTTTACACCTGTTAAGGTGGAATGTGAGCCTTTTGGCTGCAGATGAGTAACATCCATAAAATGTGGTCAACAACAGGTTGCTCTTAGACTTTGCGTGCTTTAGTGAGATGTGTATTCTTTTGTGCCATTGTCCTCCCAGATCCGTATCCGTGACCCCCAGTCGGGCAAGGATATCACAGAGGAGATCATGGCCGGGGGCTCAGGGAGCAGGAATTCAACGCCTCCTGTCGGTCCCCCCTCATCTACGCCTACGCCACCACAGGTACAGCTCCACTGCGCACAGCGCCGTGTGTTTTTGTTCACCAGGCCATCGTAGGGTTTATGTTGGCCTTCGGCTCAGGACTTTTAGAAGGTGTGACCTCACAGCTCTACGGTTTCTCCCACCAAGTGGCAAAATTGGAAATCAAAATCTCATCTCAAAGTGTAGGATCACAGTCACCACCGCTCACGTTTTGAAGGCACACTTCTTGATTTCTCCCCCCAGTTTACAAACCTTTTAATGCGGTACTGGAGTGGCTGTGAATCGGTAGTAAACAGTCAGGAGGCCAGGGGACCCAGAGAGATTGGGAAGGAATGCGGTAAATGGCTCCGTGCTGGGGATCGAACCCGGCTGCGTCGAGTAATTACAGCCAGCTTAACCAGTGGAGTTACACGCGTCCCTCAATTTGTGACTCGGACAAAGCATTTGATTTATGTACCTGGTGATGAGGATCGCACAGGCTGCTCACACCTCTGATTTGACCATCCAGGATACATTTCACATGCAGAATAAACCTCTCGACTGAACCACAGCTCCTCTCCATGTCACACGTTTTCTGTGTTTACCAGACGATGGATATTGCTGGTTAACTGATAAAGCTGCTTACCCCTTGTCGCCATTTGTTTTCAGCCTTTTTCTTCTACCGTATATGACCTATGTACTGTATACTCCGGCTCCCTCCACAGAATCCACTCACATTTTCATAATCTCCTACATACGTCCGATCTGTTCCCACTTAGAGAGGTCTCGTTTGTCTGAAATCTCAGTTTAATTTCACACAAACGAGACATAGAAAGCCCAGACTGGACAGCTTTTCTGGATTCTGAAGAGGGATGATGTGACTTTTTCCTCCCTTTGGCCTTTTGTTGATGTTAACAGTGTCTTTTCCTCTTTTTTTGTCTTTCTCTCATTTTTTTTTTTATCCTCTGCTGTCGTTTGTCTTTTACTCTTCATTGTCCTGAGTTTCATCCATTCCCCTTTTCGTCTTTCTCTTATGTTGTCGTTCATTGCTGTCCTCCTAATCTTACCATACCTCGGCGGACTGCTTATTTCTGCTTGGTTCTGCTCTCGGGCTTGTTATTTTATCCGTGCGCGTGCTCGCTGACATCTCTGTGCCTCTCTTTCTGGTTTTCTGTGTTGCTAGTTTTTATGGCCGCACCCTCATTATCCTCACATTTTCTACCTCAAATCGCAGCAGCTGAGCAGCAGCCAGACTCCAGAGCAGCAGCAGTCACAGCCTCCACCTCCTCAGCAACCACAAGCCCATCCTGGAGGCTACCCATTAGAGCCACCGCAGATACCACAGCCACCACAGCCCCAGCAGCCACTGACACCAGGAGCTTCAGACACCAAACAGGGGCCAGGTCTGACTCACCGTCTCCTTTCTTTACCTGGAATACCTTTTGGGGGGGGGCTGATATATAGGAATACAGCTCCTTGACAACTGAGCTAACTGTATTTTTAGGTTGAACAGAACACTCAGCTCTATAAAGAAACATATTCACAGCTTTTTTTTTTTTCTTGAAGATGTTTGTCTGTGGTTTGTTGGCCATTTTTGTATTTGTTTTAGTTGATCTGCTACTGCTACATTTTGAAACTGATACTTGGACCTTTACAGGCTGAGCTCTGAAGCCCTCTGTTCTTCTCTTCCTCTTTTCAGACGATATGCTAAAATTGGAGCCAGCTATCCAGAAGTCTTCCTCACCTGGGGTGGTGCAGCCCGAGGCTCCCGTAGAGAGGCTGGAGGCGAACCCTCCTGTTTCTGAGCCGCCTGCCACCGTTGAACCAGAGCTTCCCTTCCCCGCCTCGCTGACTGCCCCTGTCAGTCTCCCTCCTGCCGTTGCCAAAAGCAGCGAACGTCCCCCTGCCAGGGAGTCCACTGCACCTGCATCCTCGCCCTCCCCCTCTGCTGGGGAGAGGAAAACGTCACTGGGGCCGCCTCAGATGCCCAGCACAGAGAAGCCTCTTTCCGAACCCCCAAGAACTTCAGCCGCCTCTCCGTTGTTGGCTCCTAAGGCCTTGAACGGCCTCGCTGACTCTGGGATTGACATTGACGCCGCTGCTCTGGAGCCCACACCCCTGCCTCCAGCTGTACTTCATCCCCAGGCTCCTGCGCCTGTGCAAAGAGACGCATCCCCTCCTGAGAGCCTCTCCTCTGATGTGAGGCCGGAGGTGCCGATTGCTGCTGAGCTCCCCCCTTTGGCACCTGTGGCTGTAGTGCCAGTCACCCTGACCTCCAGTCCCATCCCAGCGTTGCCAGTCATGCTCCCCCCTGGCCTTCCGCCTCTAGTGCAGGCCACAACAGAGGCCGATGAGCCGGGCAAATCCGCAGACACTAAAGAGCTTGCCCCCAGAGGAGGGACAGAAGCCCACGCTGGTGTCACAGAGAGCAAAACGGAGTCCCAGAAGCAAGCACTTACCAGGAGGAGTCCCACGACAGGTAAACATGTGACACGCCTGCCGTTAAACCATCACTTCTCGTGAGACGCCTACAAGTTACTTGTACTTTTCATATGGTTTTATACCTGAATATTGAGATTAAATGGTTCTGTACAGACGCTCTACGATGGTATGCGCTCATCCACATAGCAAACAATGCAGATCATCTCCGATCAGATGCTCTTCTAACATAGCTGATCCCCAGGAAGTGAGGGTAAACTCTCAGTGCTCTCAGGGTTGGCATTCATCCAGAGCACTGAATCTACAGTTCAGCAGTTATTTATATACGCTTCAGTGTGTTTATTGTAGGATAAAACACGGATTTTCAAAAATGTCAACCTTTTTGTTTTGTTGTTGTCTGACTTTGGCTGATTGTGTGTATCTCATGTTTTGTTTCCCTGCAGTTAATCAGACTTCTTCTGCAATACCAAAGACCTGGAGAAAACCAAATGAAGGGATGTTTGCTGGAGACGTGACTCCAAAGGAGGATGAGGTCAGGAAATAGGTCTGCCGTCGCTGATTCAGGAGGGGGCAGAAAACACAATACTTGAGCTTAACAGAGCAATTTATTTCATCATATTGTTTTCTGTTTTTTCGTTTGTTGGCATACAAATCTCATTTGTCTTTATTTTTACTCGTTGAATAGACAGGAAATCATGCATTTTCAAATAGTTATCGTTTTGTTTTTTTAACAAGATTACAAAGTGTCAATAGGAGTGACACAGAGCGGGTGAGGCAGGGGAGGAAATTGACGATATGGGCAAGAGTTCAAGTGGAAAATGTTTCCACATGTGTGGTGAGGAAGGAAGACGTAAGTGACTAAGGGGTGGTGTTATCATTGGAGAGACGGCGAAGAGTTATCCATCATCTTCCCTGCTTTCCCACCCGACTCTTATTTACAATCTGTTCCACTCGTGTTTCTCCCCCTTTATTGTGTTGCTCAAGGCCTGTTCCTGTTGGAGAGTTCTTACACCACCAAGCACCGGCTGACAAACAAGCGGCGCCTTTTTGTGTCCAAGTGTGCTTTAATATTTTTAACACAAGTTTGAACTTGGCACCTTTGCTGCCAGTCCTCGTGTCTGATAGTAAATACAGGAAGTTCACAAGGAGATAGAAAGGATTTAAGATTAGACTATTTGGATATAAATAACATAATACACAGGAACACAGACACATGGCGAGAGAAATGTAAAATGCCTGATGGAATAATTTTGAATAAATGTTATTACAGGCCACTTAAAGAGAAAAAACCACTTTATTCCATAAATAAACCTATGGATTGATTTGAAAATATAGACACCTGCTTGTGAAACCTCCCGACAAACCGAATATGCTGCCACTGATACATTTTGAGGATCGAGAACATTCACAGTCGAGCAGAGAGGGCTTGAAATCCATCTTTAATTATGAATTGAAATGGAGTCTTGCTGATAGTTTGCCTCATTTAGTCCGCTATTTTCTACAGCAAATTGACTGATATCAGATGAGTCGGAATAAAATGGTGTTCACCAAACTTTGTAAATCATCATTTAACGACTGCAGTCAGAGCGGTGAGAACAATAACATCTTGTTAGGCCTGTGCTCTCTGTCTCACCTGTGATTATCTCCGCTCCATCAAGCTCACCGCGCCTCCATGTTTCCACATTCTGCCTCAGTGAATAAACTCTTCATATTTAGTCTATTCAATTTCTAATTCAATAGCAGCACAGCAGCCACTGTCTTGTCGGAGGACTCAAAGTGGCCGTGTCCTTCATAGGTGAATCTTGCCTCTTCACAGGATGAGCCCAAGGCTGTGGATCAGCCTGCCGGAGACCAGGCCCTGCAGCCGGCCCCCCGGAGCTGCAGCCCGGTGCTCCTCCCGTCGGCCTTCGCCTCCACCGCTGCCCCGGCGCCCGTTCCCGCCGGCGGCACCGAGGCAAACGGAAAGCCCTCCACTCCAGAGGAGAACGGGGAAGCGGAGCCAGAGCCCATGAGGAACGGAGCGGGCCACACCTCAGAGACGGAAAGCAGCGACAGTGGAGCCACCCCCGGAGACAAGGAGAGCTCAACGGGGGCTCCACCGGACATGGAAGGTTAGAGGACATCGGTCTTAGGGAAGATGGTTTTTAAATTAAAAAACGTTTTTTTGTTTGTTTTTTACTTAATCGGCACACATTTTGAATGTCTTCATTTATCACAAAAAGTTTTGCTTCAGTTGTTTTAAGTCCTGTTTTCATTTTTATCAGTGACTAGCCCTCATGCAGATTTTTGTTTATCCTCTCAAATGCCCTGTCCTGCTCCAGATCTGGCCGATTCCAGCGGGAAACGTCAGTATAACAGAGACTTCCTGCTAGGATTCCAGTTCATGGCCGCGTGCGTACAGAAACCTGACGGGCTCCCCCCGATCAGTGACGTAGTGCTGGACAAGGTAAGTTACAGACAGCCCGCAGTCTTCAGACGGACAGATCATTCTAAATGTTTGAAACGGCAAAAGAGCATACTGAAAAAAGGCTGATGGCTGAACTCTATCTGCACAGTGGGCTTCCATAATTAGCTGCCTTGACTGGCTATTGAAACACATATTGACTCACGAGGTCTGTATTACGGCTGACAGATATTTTCATTATCAGTTTATTCAGATCTATTCTGATAAATAGAAGCTTTTATTGATAAGTCACAAGTATTATTTTGCTACTTTTTGAAAATGTTTTGAGTTGATTTTTCTGTTTTCACTTTAAAAATTTTCATTTATTCTAAAAATGGTTTTCTCAGCCGGACTTTGCTTCTCATTTTGTCTGTTTTCAACTATTCTCATGTTTCAATTGAAACGGGAGTAAAAATAGGTCAATACATCGGCTTCAGAAATATTTTCTCAATCAGAAAAAGTTTTCCTCCCTAGATATAGTCATTGGTAATTCATGTGAATTGATTTAGGTTTATGGGTAGAATGAGAACTTCAAATTCTGTGCTTCATGATCTTTGATTTTATGCTCTTCCCGAACAAATGATCCCTTCTAAATGTCAGACAGTTTAGAATAAGGAAAGTGAGCTGTGTCACAGATTTAGCTTTAATGATTGACTGATCAAGGACATAATGTAACTTTGTTCCCCTGATCGGATCAAAGCTGCCACCCTTTGGTTCGTCCCTCAGATCCACGCATATGTACGGGTGGAGCATATAGCCGGCTGAAACGCTGTTTTTGATTAAAATCACATTGCTATTATGTCACCCTTGGCAGTCTTAGTATGCCCGTGCCCCTCCCCCACCCCTTCAAAAAGGAACAAGCAGCCCGGTGAACGTTTGATTTGCATGGTCTCGAAGTCTCCTTTTCTCCGTGGGAGAAAGTGAAGTCTCTCTGCAAAAAGAGTGAAGACGAAGTCAAGGACAGCTGAACGACAAAGAGCTGGATTTGTTCTCCCCCTCCTCCCCCACAGCTATCTCCGACTGTCCTGCGTTTCTTTTTTCTTCTCCCCCCCCCCCTCCACATCTGTTTCTGACTTTTCTTTTTCTTTTTTTCCTCTCCTCTCCAAACGGCCCCCGGAACAAGCTGAGCGTAATTTACAACCAGTTCATTAGAAAGACATAAACCAGAAGCTGACAATGTAGAGCGCCTGTCATTTACAGCGGGTCACCTTTAGAGGAGCAGTGGCTCAAACACACACACACACACACTTTCACACACGTTAGAGTCCTTTTGCCGACGGGGGAGCGCTGCTCCCCCTGCTGTTCAGCTCGCCCTCTGAGCGCCGCGTGTGCTTTGTGTGTCACACAGATGAACCAAAACAAGTTGCCGTCCCGATCGGTGGATTCCAGGGTGATTTCCAGAGGGCCTGATTTCACACCTGCTTTCGCAGATTTTGGGAGGCAGATGGGCGGAGGAAGAGGCGCTTCAGTGAGTCACATGTGGAATACACTCTGAGCAACCCTATACCCATTCATAAAAGCCCACATACCTCTTGTTCTTCCTTCACTTAAATCTTTTAGATTTTAAGAAGCATTCTTTGTTTTATCATATATTTATCTGCTCTCATATAGGTCCTTTTTTGTTTTTCCTTGAAGCCAATCCTTCTGTCTTGCTACAACATGCCCTGCTGATTTAGTGAAGTTTTAGCATTTCTTTACAACCAATAGCAATTTGTGCTTTTCATTCGTACGCAGCTCATGAACATTGGGGCACGACGTCCTCCACCCAGGAAGATTATCATGAACGTGTCGGTTAATGATGACATTCAGCTGAAAAAGTCGGAGAACGCCTGGAAGCCCGGCTTGAAGAGGGAAGTCCCCGCCGAGGATCCGGAGACCCAGAAAACACAGGCAGGAACAGAGAATGCACATGCGGCAAAAAAAAATCATCGAGTAGTGTTTGGATGGATCTGTAAAAGTCTGACTTCCTCCCAACAGGATCTCTTCCGCAAGGTACGAAGCATCCTGAACAAGCTGACCCCTCAGAAGTTCAACCAGCTGATGAAGCAGGTGACCGATCTGACCATCGACACAGAAGAGAGGCTCAAAGGGGTCATCGACCTGGTCTTTGAGAAGGCCATCGATGAGCCCAGCTTCTCCGTGGCTTATGGAAACATGTGCCGCTGCCTCGCCACGGTAAGCCGCCTCTCAGTGAGGAGATCTTAGGACAGATGTGTGGACGCAGGCCCATGTATGCATTACTTGTTCCATTGTGTGACGGTCATTCAGTCCTCCTTTGTCACTTACGAAAAGAGGTTTATTTATAAGAATGAAGTCTTTGAGATTTGAGGTTTCTTTTTCCTGCTTCTTCTGTGTCCCGTTCCCGTTTAGCTCAAAGTGCAAATGACTGACAAACCCAACAGCACAGTGAACTTCCGCAAGCTGCTGCTCAATCGCTGCCAGAAGGAGTTTGAGAAGGACAAGGTGGACGATGTGGTGTTTGAGAGGAAGCAGAAAGAACTGGACTCTGCTGCATTGGTTCGTCATCTCTCAATGATCTCCTCGTTTGATTTTTACTTGTATGTTCCGTCACTGGTATGATTTTATTTTTTTTGTACATGCTCAATATTCGCTCTTTGCTTTCAGTCAACGGAGCGCGATCGCCTTCAAGAGGAACTGGAAGACGCCAAGGACAAGGCCCGGCGGCGGTCCATCGGCAACATCAAGTTCATTGGCGAGCTCTTCAAGCTGAAGATGTTGACTGAGGCCATCATGCACGACTGCGTGGTCAAGCTGCTGAAGAATCACGACCAGGAGTCTCTGGAGTGCCTGTGCAGGCTGCTCACCACCATCGGCAAGGACCTGGACTTTGAGAAAGCCAAGGTGAGCCCAAGAGGAAGGCGAGGGGGCAAGTTCAATCGGTCTTTGCCCCTCAAGGCACAGACTGACTTTTTTTATTTATTCATTTATTTTATTTTTTGTCCAGAGGTAAATGAGAACAATTACTTGAAGCCACAGTGCAGATTTTTTAAGCTTATCTTAGCTGAGCACTGTCCAAAAGTATAATGATACCAGCATCTCTAAAGCTCAAGCCGACATGTTATGTCTTGCCCGGCATAATTTGGACTGAAAGTACACAAAGTGTGAAAACAACTCCCTGAGGTTTACGTGGGGGTATAAAAGCATTTCGTAGAGAAGTGTGGGGACTAAATAGTTGGAGGGAGCGTGTGTTTAGTTGTTTAGTTTATATTTTACCAGAGCTAGCTTTATTATGTTAGTCTGTTAATGAGTATGCTTTGCGACCGATCCACTGAAGGACAAGATGAGTTTTAACTCAAGTGCACATCCAGAGACATGAGCCGAAAAATGAACCTTTTACAGACTTGACTGAGTTGCTGCATTAAAAATGTTTTCTGGAAAGTAAAAATGAAAATGACTGCCTGTGCTAACGCTAACTTGGACAAACTGCATGGCACAAGTCGGTTCCTCGTTAAACTACGAGTGTAACTCTGATCTGCAGACATGCACTTTTATGGACTTAACAGAGTTGTCTAGCGGAGTGCTTTGATCCCACACTGACTGAGCTGCGTTCGGTCCCACAGGCAGAGGCAGAGGTGTAGGTGAATGTAGGTCACAGCGAAACTGGGATATCCCCACAGCATCCTCACAGTATGACGCTCAGCTTTTTTTTTTTTGTCCCTCTGTTGCTCCTGTGGACCTTGGCAGCTCTCAGCTGGACACAGGTGCTCAGGCTTACCCGAATGCCTTTTCTGCTCCGTCTGCTGCCCTGTGATGTGTTGCTTGATCTGTATCGTTTACCGGTCAGCCTGCTAAAAAAAAAAAAAAAAAAGGATAAACCTTGGAAACTGGATTCAGCGCACCTGCTTGAATCCGCCCGCTCACTTTTTGTTGCTGCTAAAATATGTTTGTTAAAGCAAGCGTGACCAACCTAGTGTCTGAAGAATAACTGGCGGAATGTAGCCCTCTAATGTCTCTGTGTCTCTTGTCACTAGCCGCGAATGGATCAATACTTCAATCAAATGGAAAAAATCGTCAAGGAGAGGAAGACGTCTTCCAGAATACGGTTCATGTTGCAGGACGTCATAGACCTGAGATTGGTAAGTGTGCTGACTGGTTTTAGTCACACAGGATGAGAGTCCAAATTCCCTTTCGTGTTAATGCACATTTTATTATGTTTGTCATCCCACAGAGGCCTGATTTATCTGAGTGTTAATAATCTGCTTAGTGATTAATGCATTATGGCTCCAATTGGTGGGCAGAAGATGAACTGATTAAAAGGCATAAAGTTAAAGATGAAACCTTGACGTTAGTATAATAGTTGTTTTTTTCTTTCGTTTTTTCTATTACAGTAACGTTTTGACATGCGAGAGGAAAACAGCCCAAGAAGCTGTTAACCTCCAGGTTCTTTGTAAGACCATTTTGGCTCCGGCCTGTTAGCACAGATCTTTAGGGTCGAGCAGCTGGTGAACGTTTTCAGGCTTTCTTAACGCATCCAACCTCATATCAAGAATAAAGAGTGCGAAAATTCAAATAACAGCAGTCCACAAAGCAGAAAAAGAAGAGATGTGAGATGAAACAGTATTCCTACATCACCACCATAAGTTCAAAGAGCAGAGTAGTTTAAAAGATTCTTTAAAATGTCACTTTTTATTGATCAGGTCAGATTTCGCTTGCCTTTTGTTTGTTTAGGTGTACTGTGTTCTCCAAAGCCTGTCACTTTGCAGACTTTTCACTTCCTTGACAGAAAAAGAATGCCTTCATGCTGTTTTTCTTTTTTCCATAATTCTACAAATCTGAAGTTAGATGGCTTTAGGTATCTTCTGGACATTAATCTGAGCTGAAGATGGAAGAGTTTCCACCTTCATCAGACTCCTTTGTTTGAGTCACCTCTTTAGAATAAGATAGGGATTTACATTTTTCCTCTTTTCTTCTCATACTCTTCTCAAAAAACAGACCAGTAAGTTGAGTTTCAACCCTCCTTAAGCTGATCGGAAGAAGCTAACACCACCTGAAAGAAACAGATGTCAGAGTTGCTTAAACCACACATTAGAGCCTTTGCTGTCCAAGTTTTTACCGATACTTAAACCTGAGCTTGATGCTTCATTTTTCTGTGGATAGAGATGTTTAATTGTCTGGCAACTGGACAAACGAACGGAAAAAGTAGCTCTGGAAACACATCTGGCTTTATGTGCTGTGATGATTTATCTGGAATGTCAGCAAAACAGTTTGAAAGTGCTGTGTCATTGACTTCATAAAGCAATTTTGACACTCCCTCTTTTCTTTCTTTCTTTTTTTTTTTTTTAGCACAACTGGGTGTCCCGGAGAGCCGACCAGGGCCCAAAAACCATTGAGCAGATTCATAAAGAAGCTAAGATTGAAGAGCAGGAGGAGCAGAGAAAAGTGCACCAGCAGCTTCTCTCCAAGGACAGCAAGAGACGGCCAGGTTAGTCCTGCAGTTTAAATCCTCTTTAGGGCTTAGTCACATCGGCACAGCTTCGGTGACTCAGGAGGCCCGCCAGCATACAGGCACACCTCCTGCAAAGCACCCACAGCTCAACAGCAGGCAGGGGGACCCCACCCCCACTCTCTCCCATCTGTCGGTTGACCTATAACATTTCATCTCGTCTCACAGAAAACTGTGAAAGACGGCCTCCTTGTCAGCTGATGCTCAGAAAAACTAAAATGCTTTTTACTTTTTTATTTTTCCTATTTCTGCCTCGTAGATCCGCGAGAACAGAGGGAGCAGAGGGAACAGCGCGCCCAGAGAGAAGAGACCTGGAACACTGTGCCCATGACCAAGAACAGCAGGACCATCGACCCAAACAAGATCCCAAAGATCTCCAAGGTGAGCCGAGCAGCCTCAGTGGGCTGTGGGACTCAGAGAGCCAATGGCAGTGGCGGGAGGGTGCATTGGTCATGTTTAAAAACATGCTGCTGTCACTGATCTCCTTTCTCACAGGTGAGGGACACAGTGGGGATTTTGTGGCAAACACTTGGTCACATGACCTATATAGTTTCCGCTTCTGTGTGTCACCTAACTAGATGAATTCAGAAAACCAGGCCAACGTTGGGGTCCAGTGTTCTGAATGCATGTGTTTGTTTTGCACGTTGTAGTTTCGATTAGTGATGATGGGCTTTCTCGTGTCAGGACAGGCTCGTTACACCCTCTTTCAGGGTTTTACCACCCCGGCCCTCCACAGCTGCTCACTCCTCTCGGGCTAAAGAGTTGAGATAAACCAAAAAACAGTCAGACCATGATCACGATGGCTCATAAAAACTGAGCTGTGTACACAAATATTCCCTGATGTCATCTGGTCTGCATTACAAGTGTTTCAAAGACACAGTGGTCCACACACACGTCCCCCTGCTGGATGTAAGACGCGGTGCTGTGTACAGATAGTTTTTAGTCTTCTCGCCCTTCAGCGGTAGTTCAAACAAAAGGAAAACAAACTCGGAGGAGTCACAGACAGGATCATGCTCGCATGATTCATCCCTGAGAGGGTCTTTGATTCCTTTTACAGACATTTTCATGTCCTACTTACACACATAGATCTGAGGCTTTTTACAGCGTCTGTTAGGAGTCTGTTATTTCTTGCGCTGTCATTTAAAGCCCAGCTGCTCACCCCTATTTCTTCTTAATGATTGTTTAGCCTCAGATGGATGAGAAGATCCAACTTGGTCCACGGGCTCAAGTCACATGGGTAAAGGGCAGCAGTGGAGGAGCCAAAGCCAGCGACTCGGGTGAGTCCACCAGTTCAACTACAAATTGCGTCTCACTCCTGTTTAATTACATTTTCTTGATTAGAATAAACAACAATTCTCTTCATTTAAGTGTTTTTTGTGGTCATACGTTGCATTTGTTGGTATTCGGTGTCTCACCTGCAACAGAAAAAACTGCAGGCGGTCCCCGTTTGCGGAATAAGAAAAACGAGTCATAATGGTGAACTTTTCACCATCTTAGACAACTTATCTTTAAAAATTAGCTTTTTCTGGCCGTTTTAAGCGACTTCTACATTCAACTCATCTGTCTTTTGGGTCTACTGAAAATCTGTCGAATACAACTCGGATAAGATAAAAAGATGTGGCTATCTAGAATCTGTGATAATGTCCTGTTATGGTCCTTCTTTGTAATTGTCGTCCGTCCCTTTCACAGACCTGTCTCGGACAGCTGGTCTGAACCGTTACTCTGCGCTGCAGTCCTCATCCTCCCCTCAGCCCTCCACGCCACCCCAACAGAACCCGGATTACGAGTCCAGAAGAACTCTGGGAAGGTAAAGTGCGGTCCCGGCCTCCAGTAGACCTGGCAAACGTTTCTTTTTTTTTTTTTTTTTCTCGATTGACCTGCTTCTGCTTCTCTTGCACGTCTCAGCGGTCGTAGCAACACGGTCCGGGAACGCAGCGAAAAGCCGCAGATCTCGGCGCCGCCTTCCTCCCGCTCCGGCCCGTTCGTCCGGGGAGGGAGTTCCAAGGAGCTGCTGGAGCCTCAAACCCCGGAAGAGCCGCGACGAGAGCGGGAGCGAGAGGCAGCCGAGCCCCGCAGACCGAGCGTTGCGGAGGAGAAAGCGGAACCGGAGCGCAGCCGAGTCCGAGAGCCAGGTGGGCTCACTGTACAGAGCAGGAAAATGACTCGGTTCCGAGAGTCTGCGCTTGTTTTTTTTTAATGCCTGTTTGTACATTACCAGTAAAACCTGAGCCCGTCGTCCAGACCCTGGACAGACCTGCTCGGTCTGAAGAGGAGATCGAGAGGAAGTCCAAGTCCATTATTGACGAGTTCCTGCACATAAATGATTATAAGGTACCGAGACTGATTTCAGCCATCATTAACACACAGCTGGGAAGCAAATGGCTCTGATTTTGACTGTAGATGTATGGTTTGTTTCTTTTAAATGCTTTTTTTTCTCCTATTTTTTTAATTACATTTTTTTTTATTCCTATTGTACCCAAATGAGATCCCTAATCAGCCGGTCTCCGTCGTTGTGTCCCGCAGGAGGCCATCCAATGTGTGGAGGAGCTGGAGTTGGGCTCTCAGCTGCACATCTTCGTGCGCGTCGGGGTGGAGTCCACCCTGGAGCGCAGTCAGATTACCCGGGACCACATGGGCCAGCTCCTCTTCCAGCTGGTGCAGCAGGGAATGCTGCCCAAGCCCCACTTTTACAAAGGGTCAGTCCACCTGCCCGACGCAGGCCTTTCTGTAAAGGGGGATGCCTCGTGGGAATGCGTCACAGTCCCACGCAGTGTTTCTTTTCTTTGAGCTATTGGATGTAAAGTTCAGTTTCCTCTCACCAAAAACTGCTCGGTATGAGAATAGTCACATTTTCTACAGACTCTGAGGCATTTTGCCAGACAGGATTTGTTGGTCTTTAAAACAAGATCATGTTGTGAGGCAATGACACCTTTTTTTTTTCATTTTTCTTAACGCCCGCATCGCTAAGATCTGCTGCCTCCTGGTGTTTTCTCAGGTTTGCAGACACGTTGGAGCTGGCCGACGACATGGCCATCGACATTCCCCACATCTGGCTGTACCTGGCCGAGCTGCTCAGCCCCGTGCTGAAGGAGGGGGGCTTCTCTATGAGAGAGCTGTTTAGGTACATGCATATGCTGAAACCCAATCAACATCTGTGGCACCCTGGTGGCCGAAATGCGCCCACACACCCATCTTTGTCCTCATTCCTGTTCGGGGCAAAAGAGTAATTGAGTGTTATGCACACGCCGAGTTATACAGATGAGTTGTTTCTTCTGTCTTTTCACAGTGAATTGAGCAAACCTTTGCTTCCTGTTGGAAGAGCCGGGATCTTAATCTCTGAAATACTGCACATACTATGCAAGCAAATGGTAAACAGCACTTTCATCCTTGTGGTACATTTGTGTTGGCTGCTAACAGAGTTTAATGAGCGTGGTGATTAATATGAACAGATGATTCTCTGTCAGAATGGTCTTGGCTTTTAGCGCAAAATCAAATGTGAATGTACATTTGCAATGATATTTGTACTAAAGTCTTATAGTTTCTAGGCAATTTTAGTTCATTTATATACATGCACAGCTTGAGTTGTGAAAATGAGCTGATGAGAGACGTGGTCCTGTTCTCTCCACAGAGCCATAGGACTGTGGGTTCTTTGTGGAGGGACTGTGGCCTCAGCTGGACCGACCTCTTACCCAACGGAGAGGATGTCCAGGCTTTCATCTCACAGCAGGTGAGCGACGAAGGCCTCTATTCTAATACAGAAAAGTCCGCGTTTCAGTCCAACCTCGCAGCGATCGCCACTTTGCATCGTCACTGTTCGTCTTCTCCACCTTCTTGGCTTTTCTATTTATCAATGACGCGCTCCTCCCTCCTGTCTCTACACAAACAGAAACTCCAGTTCCTTCAGCCCGAGAGCTCCGCTCAGGAGGCAGTTGAGCCCAAAAGAATCCTGTCTCCTGAGGAGCTGAACCAGCAGCTAGAAAGACTCCTCCTGGAGGACATGGCCAGTGATGAGCAGATCTTTGACTGGGTTGAGGTGTGAGCACCAACATCAAACATCCGAGTAGCTGGTTTTATGATTAAATGCTTATTTCATATATGATGCATTCCTGTTTTTTTTTTCCACTCGGTATCACTCCTCGTAAGAGTTTCATTTCAGTTTACACTGAAGTTTTAGACGGTTATAATACATTTTGAACAGCATGGGCTCAGGTGGGTGTACGCTGGTGGTTTGAACCCGTCGAGGGTGCTCACTGTGTGGGGGTGGCAGTGTCTGTGGGTGCTGTCCATTTGCCACTTTCCCACTTAACTCACTATCGGTGTTGTAAGTTGTACGCTCAGGGACAGGGTGGAGTTCAGGATGGAGGACGTCCTCCTCTTTCTCTGAGCTCCAAACGCAGCGCTCAGCATCAGCTCCCTCTGACACGTTGACGTTTTCCTTCGAAATCGTTCTGAAGCTAAAAGGTTTTAAACCAGTGCACTGTTTTTGTGTTTTTGTTTGTTTTTTTCCTTCTGTTTCTCAGGCAAACCTCGACGAGTCTCAGATGAGCTCGTCTCCCTTCCTGAGGGCTTTGATGACAGCTGTGTGCAAGGCGGCAGTGAAAGGTAAGCCCCCTCCCACCGCCACCACCTGAAGGAGTCCTTCCTCCGCTCTCGCGCATCGCCGCTGGGCGCAGAATCCGCCAAACTCAGAGCGCTTTTTCCTCCCGCTTTGCTCCGCAGATGACAACACCAGCTGTAGAGTGGATACGGCCATCATCCAGAGGAGGTTGCCAGTATTACTCAAGTACCTTAACTCAGACACTGAGCGACAGCTGCAAGCACTTTATGCACTTCAGGCGCTGATCGTCGCCCTCGATCAGCCTCCCAGTAAGTGCAGCAACGGAGCTAAACTCACAGACACCCACGCATCTCAGATCACGTGTTGGTCCCAAAGAAAGTCGTGAGAGTCGTTTGTGTTTGTTTGTAGCCATTGGTTAGCAAGGGGGTGTTTTTTTCTTTTTAAATCTGTCTTTGTACTGAATGAAGTAGGTAAATAAGCTTAAACCTCTCAAAAACAATAGGGACAATTTTTTGGTTAATCATTTTTAGGAATTGACTGAGGTCAGGTAAATGTTCTTGGTGGCGTTTTATATTGCTGTGCATCACTCTGCTGAATTTGAAATAAAGCAGTGAATGGGATTGAATAGTAGAGTTTTAGCTTTTATGTCAGAGGCTGAAAACTATCCTTAAAATCTTTAAACTAAAGAGAGAGGGGCAAAAAGATGCTCAAAGAGGTGATGAAAGATATGAACCATCAAATGAAGTCTTAGAAATATATATGTTAAATCTCTAAAAAAGCACAAAGCACAATTTTTCATAGAAAATATTGGACCTACTTATGAAATTATTTACCTTTTGAATATTTTACCCTTTAAATTAGTTGTATTCGGATTTATAGTTTCATAGGGATGTAGTTTTTTTTTTCTGAAAATCCTTGTGATTTAAAAGAACTGTTCAGGTTTTAATACTTAGGTCTGAATTAATTAACCTCTAAAGTGGTGTTACACCTGTCTGTTTACCTGACTGCTTACCATTCATCTGAACGATGAACACCAAGTCTGAAGGAGACCCTTTTGCCCGTAAAGCAAAGCTAGAACAGTTGTTGATGAACTCTGGTGTTTGTTGTCCTGTGAGGGTGCAGAGAGTTGACGGCTGTGCCTCTTTCTCCCCATCAGACCTTCTCCGGATGTTCTTTGACTGTCTGTATGACGAGGACGTCATCTCGGAGGACGCTTTCTACAAGTGGGAGACGAGCAAAGACCCTGCCGAGCAGCAGGGTAAAGGTGTGGCCCTCAAGTCTGTCACGGCCTTCTTCACCTGGCTGCGGGAGGCGGAGGAGGAGTCGGAGGATAATTGACGAGGGCGACACCCGGGACTGGACACAGTAGAACTGCATCCTTAACAGCAGAGCAAACTTTCAAAATGGCTGCGCGGACAGGACGACATGTTTACAGCTGGAATTTTTTTCTGCGGTACGGTTCTGCGACATGCCGCCATTTTGAGTTTGGATTCCAACAGTGGAAGCACTAAATACCTGTATCATACATAGAAAATATTTTTGTTTTAAATTTTAACTTACTTTTCTTTTGTTACTTTTTAAGAAGAGACTTAAAAGATACATAGGTTCTGGACTCTTTAATTTATTATTTTTTTAAGGACTGCAAATACGAAAGTTATTTAACATTTGCAGATGCTCACAAGGAGAACACAACAGAAATAACAATATAATTAATTATAGTAACAGAATAATAGAGAGATGAATATCCTCCCTGGATTTCACAGTTTGGTTGAAAACAGGGTAAAAACAAAATTATTTTGGGATGAAGGGGAAGCAGAGATAAGAGGGAAAAACAGAAGTTAATAAAAAAAAAAGGAACTATAACGCTTTTTCCAGGTCAAAGGTTATCTTGTAATAACCAGGAAGTGTTTCCCTCAGCCTTGACTTGCCCTGAGTTGATATGAACGTGCACCTCATGAGAAGTCGTAGTACGCATCCACAAAGCAAATCCGAACTGTAACATAACGCAGACGAACAAACCCGGAAATGAGCAAAAGTGCAACTTTAAAGCAAACAGCCAGGGTCGCTGAACTTCAGATGCTTGTAATACTTAAGACCTACAGAGCAGATTAAAGCTTGTAAATACATTAAAGACGAAAAATGTATTTAAAAAAGTGCCAATTCTCATTACTTTTTCCTTCTCACCGTTGGGAAAGTGGCCTCAAGGGTTCTTTTGTGTGTGTGTCTGCTTGATGAGTGGTGAGTGATGAATAAATTTAAATGGTGTTTCAGTCTAACTGTTTTGGTCCAAGAAGAGCTTGAGGAGCAGCAGTGGGGATCAGGTCTGATTGGCTGAACCGTCAAGCGTCTTTCATCACAGTGAATTTTCCCAAAAATGTGGCTTCATTTACACATTGGTTGTTACGTTTGAAGTTTATCTACAGAAAATTTACCAAAAATATCCAAGCTTTTTATTTCTGGTTCTGTCAGAGCTGCAGGTTTTCACTGAATTCTGCATCTGAATTGTTTTCAGCTTGATGAACCTTTGAATGGATCAAATGTTCCACAGCCAACTGTTTTGTGGACACAAAGACTAATCAAGATCACGATGAATGGACGGACCTGATTGAATTAACTGTGAGCGGAGGAGGCATGTAAAGCTGAGGACAAGAAATGACGAAATCTTTGTGAATAATCTGACCTGAGTGATCAGTGTAATTCACCACGAATGGTTTCTTTCGTTGTTGCTTTGCACAGATCAAAACTTCTCATCTTTTCTGGTTTTTCACTGCACTCAATAACATAATTTTATTGGAGGCTCAACTCAGACATATCCCCTTTATAAGTAGGTTATACGTTTGTTTGTTTTTCTCTGAAATGACAGCTTTTGTTAGTTTTAGAGTTCAAATATGGTACTGATATCTGTTACACTAAGGTGAAAGAACAAATAGTTTTAATAGTACAAATACAGTCTGCAGGATATATGTGAACTATCTCAAGTTATCTTTAAATCTCTACATAAAATAGTGTTACGTGTCTACTTTGAAGATTGAGATTGCGTTGTACCTTTTCATTACTTTTCCTAAATAGTTTGAGTACTAACCGGAGGAGAAAACGGATCATTTGCACTTTTGGAGCCATGAAAATTTGTTGTATGTTTTGTTTGTCATTTTAGCCAAGACGGTGAGATTTTGCTATGTGGTTGTTTCCTTTTAGAAATATATATTTTTAAAATTATTTCTACACAATTGTTTTGTTTTTTAATTTTGAGCTGTTCATTTGTTGGTTGAATGGCTGTCTTTTTTTTGTTCACCTTTTTGTTTTTCCCCGTCCTTTTGCTTGTTGTTGAATCCCTTTGTCGTGATTTGTTTAACCCTTTTTGTCTGTTTTTGAACGTCCTGTTTAGTTATTTTGAACGTACTTTTTTAGTTTTTTTCTAACTCCATCTATTGTTCGTTTTTCAACCGTCGTTTTGTTGCTTATTTGGGAACAGTGGTTCTGTTTTTAATAGGTTCGTTGTTTGTTTTTGAACCGGCGCGCCACGTTGGGAATCCTCCGACGTGCCGCGTGACGCTGCACGTTCGCAGCGGTCCAAGCTGGGCGGGGCTCGTTAGCGGAGGAATCGAAATAAAGGATCGTGCAGAAATTTACTCTAAAGTCTTTAACGTTTTCGCGATACGTAAAAGGTAAGTTTGATTCGCAGAGAGAGTTGCGGTGTGAAAAACACGTTCTTGCATTGAGTCTTAGCTGGAAAAAGTCGCTGTTTGCGGCTATTTTTCTTGCTCCATTCAGCTGAAATGAATTTCATCTGCCTTGTGCGACGCCATTACTGTGTTCCTAAACCGACGGACAAAATGGCGAAATTGGCGAAAAATTTCCAGCGGCTCGTGCTCTGGTTCGTGCGAACATGGTTGAAACTGGTTCCAGTCGGCAGGTCTTTGCGGAGCTCTGCGTTTTACCTAAATGCATCTTTCCTCTTCGGTTGATAAAACGGGCCTCAATGAATGGAGTGGGTTTGGCAGTACCCCATTTGAACCACGCATACATACATAGAAAAAAAAAGCAAAACAAAGAGGGGGGTGGGCATTGTGGTGCTGATGAGTCTTCCTGGTGTCCAGGTAACTCTGCTGTGATGCCGATTCGCCGAACAGCGGCCACTCCAACCCAGGAGAAGACCCCCTCCTCGGCTGCAGACAAAGGTGAGGCTGGGGTCGCTGACCACACGAACCACCTGGACCCGTGAACGCACCATCGCCACAAACAGATTTCAGTGCGGTCAACACGGGAAAACCCTGTGCGACACACTGTCCATCTCATCACGCCACATTTCCCATGTTTTCTCACTCCAATCCTTTAAGAAGACATCTGGTGCTTCTCCAGGAGAGTTTTAATGACCTTTGGAGAGAACTGGATGCGTGTTTGAGAAGTTTTACAACATGTTACATTTGACCTGATAAGTCATTGGTCTTACATTGATAGTTACACGTCGCACTTCAGTTTATAACTAGATGTACACAACAGAAACGTGGTTAAAGCATGTACAACTGTAAATGCGCATTGAAGGCACAGATGCAATTGGGCAACGAAGTTCCCTGTGCATTGTAGTTGTGTCTCTACTTTGTTTTCAATGTCCCCACAGAACCGGAAGCCTCCTCTGAGGAGTCGCCCTCTGCTGACGAGGAGCAGGCAGCACCGTCGGCGGCACCGGCTGAGGGTGAGGAGGATGAGGCAAAGGGCGACGCCGAGCCCACGGAGAATGGGGAGAAGGCCGACGAAGGCGTCTCCGCCGAGAAAGAAGGGGAGGGAGACGCGAAGAAAGAGTGAGTTGCAACAGAGACCTGGTGTGCAAGTGAAAACGCTGCGATATTTCACTTTGATAGCACTTTTACCTGTTTATATTATCCTTACCTCTGCTGGATGACAGCAGACTGCCTCTGCCCTGGTTGCGGTGTTGCATTTCCAGCGATGTGACCTGTCACAGCCACACTCCTGCACACTAGCTATCAGAAAGGTGTGCCCCAGTGTTGTAGTCCAAGAGAAGACGGATGATTTCAGCCCGTAGTTTAAACTCAAACCAAACAGCCTCGAGCTGTATGTCCAAAAGGCTCTTTCAATCCCTTTTCCCCGCCATCTTTTTCTTTTTTATTTAGACAACAACAAGCTCGTAATTTGTCTGCTCATAAAAGCATAATGCACACCAGCAGTATTCTGTGTGGTGATCAGCTTTAGACAGGCGGACATGCAGGCTTATTGGCTTCTTCCTCAATTTTCGTCATCCAAGAGATAGCAGCACCTCTGAGTGAAGAGAAAGTGTTTCGGAATGGAGACGATATAGCAAATATGTAGAAGATATAGCCTTATGTTGAGCACAAACCAAAGTCTCGAGACTTTGAAACAATTTGTACTTAGAATCATGGCAGTGTTGTGAAGGCTCCACGTAAAAATTAAGTGGCCTCCTTATTTTCTCTTAGACCTTAGCTAGCATGTTTCAGCCCACAGATCAGAGGGACTGCAGTTCATTTAGGGTCAGGTTGCCATGGTGGTCATAAAGACAGATGTTCTGAAACTTGATTTTGTCTTTCCCGCCGGTGACAAATGGACAAAGTGACAAATGCAAGGACTGCGCGGCTGGACATTGCGCAACACACTGCTATGTTCTCCTACTAAGGTGAGGATTTGATAAACATAGGGGTGGTAACCATCACAGTGAAATATCGCTCACCGAGAACCGGGCCACTTCACTGAACTTGTTATGCTCCTTCTGGCGGCAGGATGAAGGATGGCTACAAGTACGAGAAATCCAAAGCCAAGAAGGTGAAGCGGACCATTCCTGCGTGGGCTAGCGTGACCGCAAACAAAAACATTCCCGTTACCAACTATGCAGGCTCGCAGAAAAAAGTGGATAACATCCTAATCGAGGCTTTAACGGTGTGTACGGGTCGGGCGCTTCCCCCCCCCAGAGCCGGCCCGGCGGCAGCTCTGGCTCTTGGTTTCTAGGCGTCCGCTTTATTTCTCGTCTGTTTCCCTGCAGTCTTTTAACGACAAGTCCGGGGTTTCCTTCCAATCACTCATGAAGTATATTCTGAAGAAGTACCCGGGCATGGAGCTGAACAAGAAGAAGTTTCTCATAAAGAAAGCCATGAAAAAGCACCTGGAGAAGGGCAGCATCAAACAGGTGAGGGCGCTCCACTTCCCCCTTCCTGCCCTGTTGGGTTCTTTTACTTTGAAATAGCCAGTTTGCTGACGTTTGCTTCTGTCCTCCTCACAGCTGAAGGGCAAGGGCCTCTCGGGAACGTTCGCCATGGGAAAGCAGCCTCCTCAGTCAAAGGTGGGTCCCATCAGAGGTGACTGCACCCAGTTTTTATTGGAAGAAAGCAAGGATCGGCTCACGCATTAAGTCTGATAATGTCCTTTTGCAGAAAGCCGGCCAGAAGCAGGAGTGTCTGGGAGATGCCCTTCCTCTCATCATCACTCGGCTCTGTGAGCCCAAAGAGGCCTCCTACAACCTGATCAAGAAGTACCTAGAGCAGCACTTCCCCAGCTTCAACATTGAAAACAGGTATTACAGAGCAAGCTGCTCTCCAGCCAAGAGCCCGCTGATTATTCTCATCCATTTAATTAAACTTTTGCAATGCTTTTGGAATATTAAAAACCTGAAAAACACCTTTTTTTAATGATGGGAAATGGATGCACGCAATAGGCTCAATGTATTCATGGGAAAAAGTAATTTAATTACACTTTAACAAGTGATAACAAATTTATTTTCATTTAACTAATATTTCCTGTTACGTCCACTTTTCTGTTAATGACAGTTTTTCTTTATTTTTACAATGAATTTAATTATTTTGTATGTTGTTTTTTTATTCTGAAACTAATTTCTACTCCCCCCAAAAAGATCTGACTATCTACAGCTATGGCGAATTAAACTTTTATCTATTTGCCAGCACTCATTTCAGAAAGATGTTTTAGGATGTCATTAGAAAGATTTACCTGATAATCCTGCCTGCAGAAACAATAGAAAGCTTCTCTCCGGTCTGTGGCATTCACAAACTGTGGTCTGATCATAGGCCTGATGTCCTGAAAACCGCCCTGGTGAAGGCAGTAGAGAAAGGACACCTGGAGCAAATCACTGGGAAGGGGGCCCGGGGGACTTTTCAGGTAAGACTGCCTGTCTCTTACAAACCCGTTTGATTTTGGTTCTTCAGCCAAACAAATGGCTCTCCATCCTTCAGAGCCTGGCACCTGATTATTTGATTTTCTCCTGCTGGAGGATGAACAAAAGCTCTCTCTGTTACGCTCTAATAGACAGGATTCTGGTTGATAAATGTTTGCGGCTGACTCTGTGTCACGTCTTGTCTTAAAATGTCGCAGCTGAGGCGCCCCGGCAACAAGACCCTGCCGAAGGGCGGCATCCTGGAAGACGCCATCACAGTCGCCATCACAGCCATGAACGAGCCCAAAACGTGCAGCACCACATCTCTACGCAAATATCTAATAGACGCCAACAAGGACATGAGGGAGAACCAGTTAGGTAAGACCCCGCTGGCTCTGGCTGGCTGAGGTGGAAACACGCCTGCTGTGATGGAGCTGAATGTCTGGAAGACTCCAACCTGTGCCACTCATCAGGCTGTTTCCAGACCTGTAACTTAACTCAGTAGTCCATCAATGGAGAGTGAAGAAAAGTGAAATCACTCTTTTGTACGAAGGTTTTTTTTCACGTAGACCAAACGTGTTGCCGTTCTCTTGTTTAGTGGCCAATCTCCGGAGGACCTTGAAAAAGTGCAAAGTTCTGGGCTGGATGGAACAGATCACCGGTCACGGTTTCACAGGAACCTACCAGCTCTCCTTCCCCTTCTACCCGAGGTAAGGGGCAACCGTTTGTCGTTTCCAGGCTGCGTGGAAGAAAATGCCCCCAAATAATCTGAGCTGAGCTGTTTGAAAGGTGAAACCTGCGAGAAATACATTTGATTTGTCTCTCTTTAGCCCAACTATCCTGTATCCAGACAAGTTCAAAGAGACTCCCGAGAAACCACCCAAACGGAGGAAGGCAGCTGACTCCTCAGATGAGGAAGAGTCCGAGGAAGAGGAGTCGGAGGAAGAGGAGTCATCAGAGGATGAAGCTCCCGCTCGTAGACGGTGGGTGCCATTTCTTTTGTTATTGTTGTATGTATATTTCAGTTTCATTATGGTAATATTTCTACTAAAACTTGAATACGCATGTAGGAAATCCCAAAAGAGACCTCCACCCAAGGCTCGCCGCCCTCCCCCCACCAAGAGGTCCCGGAGCAGCAGTCAGACGAAAGCTAAAAGCAAGGGACGCCCGCTACCAAAGACGCCTCCCGCCAAGAAAGCCGCGCCTCCGGCCAAGAGATCGGGAAGGAAGCAGCCAGCGGCGACCAAGAAGGAGTCGGCGCCGGCAGCTAAAGCCACACCGGTGAAGAAAGGCGCGCCTCCCAGCAAGCCCAAGACACCAGCCGTCAAGAAGCTGGCCAAAAGGGGGTCCAGGAGACCTCTGACCAGAGAGACCTCCCCCGAGGAGACAAAGGGCCGGTCCAGGCGGTCCGAGTCCGAAGAATCTTCCCCCGAAGAGCCCCCGGCTAAAAAGCCGGCAGCCAAAGGCGGGTCCAGACGGTCCGCGCCGGTGCAGTCGCCCGCCAAGCAGCCCCAGGCAAAAAAACAGGCCAAAGGCCGAAAGCAGTCGGCCCGAAAGTCCAAGAGAGGGAAGCACTGAGCCCAGAGCTGGCCCCCACAAACTGGGCTGCGCTGGATCTGCAGCAGTCTGCCGCTTTGTTTCAGTGCTCGGTTTTTATCATTGTTTTCCTCCCTTTTTTTTAAGGAGCCGTAGGTTGTTTTTGTTTTTTTTATTTCCATTGTAGAACGAGGGCGTTATCCTTCCACTTGCGTTAGCCGTACTTTGGAGAATTTCTGAAATTCCTTTTTAACGACGGTGCGTAGAGACCGCTGGGTTAGTGTTGCCGTTCAAACTGCCAGCCCGGAGAGTAAAGCAACACCCAGCATCCTGTAACTAGAGCCATGTAGTGACTTCTGTTTTCATTTGTTCCTCATCAGCTGTTTGTAGGTGCTGCCAGCACACATTCCTAATCTCGAATGAAGAGAGGTCTGTGTACCGGAGGGGTGCAGAGTGTCTCCTTTTTAAAGTTCAAATTTGGGTTGAGGAGTTACTAATGTTGCCACTTTATAAAAGACAGATCTGAGGTGGATCGCTCTGTCTTAGAATAAAGTAACAACACTTTGGCCACACAGTAGAAAATTTAAAAAAATCTTAAATTTTATCCATATTTATTCATTTTAATATAGTTATCCTTAATATCGTTTACTTTTCTAAAAAAAAATCCCCAGAGGCCTGCAGGACCATGTTGATGATTTAACGAAGGGCAAAACACTTAGTATTCATTTTTCAGGAAAAGACAACCTCTCTTGATGTGTTTAAGCAAGCGTACGCATTAAACCGATCTTATTGCTTCACAACCGTTAGTACCAAAAGATCAGACACGTGGTGTGAATAAGATCCAGGAGGATAATAGCTCATACATACCCTGCATGCATGTATTCCTTGTGTTGTTAAGCTTTTTCCAAGTCATTAATAAAATGGCTATATTTGTAAGTTTGTTGTGTTTTATTCAATTCCTCCTGCGTAGTGGTGGTTTGACCATCATTTTCGAGACCGTTTATGCAGTTTCCTGCGGCATCAGTTTCATGTCTGAAAGCCTTTGCCCTGTCCAGTGCCAGCTTCAGCCTGAACAGATGCAGTTTGGTTTGAAGGTTTTCAGCAGCTTCACATTTTGGTCGGATCCCAATTCAATGAGACATGTTTGAACGTGGTGGAAAAACAGCTACAAGGTTGTAATTACAGTTTAGTCTGCATCATTATTTTAACCCCAGAAAAAAATGTACTTTGATTTATGTTACTTTTCTCACAAATCTGATTTTTTGTATAATTTTTTGGGGACGCAAATATTTAATCAGACCAAGGTGTGTCATAAAATTAGTCTCCTTCCCAGTCACCAAATATTTGTAACGCAACCATAAAATCTTTATAATCAAGTTTTTTCTGCCTGAATGTAAACTGAGTGGAGTCAGATCTGCTCACCTGGTTGAGAAGCTTGTGCAAATAACAGAAAATGTACACGAGTACTCGTATTTCAATACACTTCAACTTTCTACTTCTTTGCTACACGTCACCGGGAAATGTGGCCAGTTTTTACTACCCTTTCTTTTATCTAACGGCCCCTCCTGTTACAGGATACTTTTCAGATCAACACTTTGCATGAGTTGTTAATGTTTACACACAGTCAGACCGTGAACCTTCTCATGCAGATGAAACGCCTTGATGTCGTTTCCAAATTTTCACCTGTTCCTTACGGAAAGGAGGAAAGATGCGGTACATAACAGGGCCCTTTCTTTCCTCCACTGTGCAGTCATTTAGTATTCACACCATAAACGGCTCATCTTTGATAAACGTCATTGTTCTGATTAAAGCTTTTACAAAGACTGGTTGTGGCCTTATTTTATCCAATTGGTCTGGAGTCGCTGTTTTAGGTGTCCAGTAGCTGGCATTTTCATCCAATAGAAAGTAATGATTGGGATGAAAGTGTCTGTGTTGGTCAAGTTTTGATTTTTTCATAGTAGGATCACAAAGAAGTTATGGCCTGTTCCTGCTTCAATGGGGCAATATGTGGGGTACAGATCACCAGTCTTATCGCAGGGGCAATGCAGACTAATGACACTCACAGTCACTCCTTTAAACATTTAGACCCAAATCATGTGGTAGAAAGCCAGATAGAACATGCAGACTTCACTAAGAAGGCTTTCAGTTAGGATTTGAACCAGCAACCCAATCTTCTCAGGCAAAAAGTCCATGTATATTTTTAATATGACGTGCAGTTTCTGGTTACACGTTCATAGTTGCTACATTTACAAAATTCTTCAGAAACAAGTCCTCATATGTAGATTTTTGGACCTCTTTAATCTTTACTTTTGAGAGACTCTGCCCCTAAAAGGTGCTCTTTAGCGCTTTCAGCCTTTTGACAACAAACCTAATTAGTTGCAACATGTTCCTCCAGCTGTGTCTTGTTAGTACCACTAGTTTCTGAGTCAATTATCTCAAATATTGTCACAGTTATGAGTTATGAACACTTTTTCTTGACGAATTACAAGGCAACAGTTTCACATTTTATATATTCTTTTTTTTTGGGAGTGTAAATAAAACGTTGGTTTAAGTAATTTGCAAACAATTGCATTCTGTTTTCCTTTCGTTTTCTTTTTTTTACAGTGTCCCAGTTTATTTGGTGTGTGTTTTAGGAATTGTGTGTGATCCATTGACACAAAACCTTCTGCATTCCACAGCTTTTCAACAAGATAAATATTGGAAAGCAGAAAACAGTTCTATGATTTCTAATCTAACATAGTCATGTAAAGGGTATAGGTGCATTAACCAGAACTATTTGCAGTTTGGACTTTTCTTTTTCTTCTTCCACTTCTGGGTGTGTTCTGCGGCCTTGTGTTGCACAATAAATGGGAATGTGTGTGGAGCTGGGACAGGAGTGAAAAAAAAAAAAGCTTGGAGAGGGAGGGTTTACGTGATTCCCCCCGCGTCACCTTCCGCTGAATGTCAATATCTTTGGGAGAGAAGTTTCATCCTCGCGCCCTCCATTCCCCTCCTCGAGCTCCTCTCTCGCGCCCCGCCTCGCGCCAGCTGCACACCTGAGCCGCCGCGGGTGAGAAAAGGTGAGCCAGTCCGCTGTCCGCCGCTCGGTGTGAGGGAAAAAAAAAAAAAACGGGGGGGGGGGGGCGGGCCCCCGACGAGCTTCCCCCGGGGGTTGAAAGCTTTTTTTTTTTTTTAAACCGTCGAACCGGGACTCGGAGCTGGGTGTCCCGGTCCACGGTGGGGCGGAAGCCCCGCGAAAGTTTCGTCTAATTAAGTCACGCCGTGGATTTTCAGGACTTGGGGAGAGGTTAAAGTTCTTTTTATCTCTCTTTATCGTGTTTAGAAGGGACTTTAAGCGCAGTTTCGTGCTCCGAAAGTGCACCAAACGGCGCAGCTGTGAGCAAAATAGCGTTGCAAAAACAGCCCTGGACTTAATTAACTAAATATTAACGAGCCTTTCCTGGCCTTCCGGTGGGCTCCGAAGGGGAACGAAAGCCCATGTTTAGGGGGACTTTGCTGTCTTTCTAAGAAGGACTAGGTTTTTTCTCCCTTCAAAATGTTTGCCGTTTCTTCTATTTCTGGACCTTGTCTTTGGCCTCTTGAGATTTGAGGTCCTGTTGCTGTCTGGTTTTACAGGAAAAACAGGCAGCATGGGAGAGGCACCGGTCAGAGAGGATGGCACAGTGACACGATCAGCAGAGGTATGTCCTGAAACCACCTGCATCATTTTTTTTTTCTCTCTCTTCCCCCCCTTGCTTTTGAATCTCTGCTGTAGTGTCATTTTGTGTTTTTGGTTATGTCTTCACTGGTCAAGTATGTGGGCTCATTTCCTGTGGATGACTGCTGTTTGGACGACCAGATAGAGCAACTGCACAGACAGCTGAAGTCCCTCAAAGTGAGTCTTTTGCCAATTATGTCCTGTTTTCTTTGAGTTCATTACTCAGCGGATTGCTGGTCGCTTTCATTCAGGGATGCAGGAGGCGGCGGCCGGTGTCCCTCAAGTTCTCCGTCAAAGGCGTGAAGATGTACAACGAGGACGAGACGGTGAGCACAGCGTAAAGTTTCTGCCTTTTGCTGTAAGCGGCCTCGGTCTGACCGGAGCGTCCCGCTTCTTGTTCCAGACCCTGCTGATGGCCCACGCTCTGCGCCGAGTCTCTCTGTCCACCGCCCAGCCGGCCAACGCGCAGTTTGCCTTCGTCTCCCATAACCCCGGCAGCCCCGACGCCCAGCTCTACTGCCACGTCTTCAAAGCCCGGCATGCCCGAGCGGTAAGAGGCCTCCAGAGACGGTTAGAAACCTTTCCGCTGCTTGGCGAGGACGTGCTGTCACTGAAGAAAACAGCTGTCAAAAGGCGGGGACGGTGGCGTGGCTGAGGGCTTTTCCCTCGGACACGCTCGTCTGTCGGCTCGGTTTTTTTGTCATTGGCTAAGCTTTTTGTTTTTGGTTTTATAGCAGTCGGATTTTTAAAAAAAGAGGTTCGGCACAGACCATGTGTCCTGCTGCCCGAGTCATTCAACCACTGGAAAGTTAAAGAATAGTTTGTTTTAGAATGGCCAGCTTGAGGATCTTGGTTCCGTCCAGTAAACAGGGTATTTTTATTTATTGAACGGCCCCACGAGACAACAACAGACAGCAGATGGACAACTGACCCTAACCCTGGTCACTCCGGACGACAACATGTAGTCTGAACAGGAAGTCAAACAGTCCCAGTTATTTCCAAACCGGCATGGCACACGGAGGAGCCTCCAGATGTTTTTAGTGTCTTCCGTTTGTGGCTGAAATGCTTCTTGATTTCCCTCTGGTTTTAACTGTCCCTCTTTGCTTGCCGTCTCCTCGCACAGGCCCAGTTCCTGAACCTGCTGCTGTGCCGCTGTTTCCAGCTGTCGTACCTGGAGAAGCATCCTGACGAGGCGCAGGAGGACGCGACCGGCGCCGCGCCCCGTCGCAAACCCTCCCTGCTCAACCACGGCTTCCCCCTTAGTGTCAGCGCCCTGGTTTCCTTTCGAAGAGCTCCTTTTCGGGGGTTGTTGCTGGGCTCAAAGGTTCGGAACCCCCCTTGCCTCCATCTTTTCCTTCACTTAAAAAGATCAGACTTTTTTTGTTCCTCTAAGTCTTTTTTTTTTTCTTCTCCAGAAATCTCAAAAACCTTCCGACGACAGCCAAGACGATGTCTTTCCCGCCTCGTCTCCCTCTCTGATGCGCAAGAAAGTCATCCGCGCCAAAGGGCTGCGCTCGGGCGCTTACCGCTCTTTCACCTGCACGCCGCTCAAACAGCGCGCCGTTCAGGAGCGGCTGGGCGCCTCACAAGGTGGGCCGAGCGTTCACAGAGCGCTGTCCAGGGTCAGAGAGTTGATTAGGTAAAGCACCGCCCTCAGAGGCATGCTGGGCTCACTGAGGTGCCACGTGGATCATGTCCTCTCACACGGGCCACCGTGATAGATTTTCCCACTGGTTTGCTTCCCGCTCACTCTACTGTTGATGTCACGCCTGAAAACACTGATTTATTTTATATACATTTTTTTGGGGGGGGGCCTGTCTCCTGTCACTGAATTGAGATCACATTGGTGACCTTTCCACACAAACACAGCTGGTGTTCTTTTTAATTCAATCTACTGGCATGAAAGCAAATCTGTATTTACTATCATTCCTCTGCTTGCAGAAAAGGATCCAGAACACAGACCAGCCAAGCGGTCCCGGGCTCCGAGCCTGGCCGAGACAGAAGAAGCTCTGGCTCAAGCTGTGTGGTGTTGGGCTGGCATCGCAGCGTGAGTGCCTGTCGCGCCCGCACCGATTCCCTCCTCCTATCCACACATCAGCGCTTCTCTTTTTTTCTTCTTGCCGTTGCAGTGACAGCAGCTACTCCCTCCTGGCAGATGACGTCCTGGGATCGTACCTTCTCTGCCCACACCCGAAAAAGCCCAAATGCGGTTCCCTCATCATTCGCCTCCCGTCCGGCCTGACCGCCCACCTCATAGAAAACACCCGTAAAGGGAAATTCTCTCTCGAGGTAACTGTCATCTTCTGGCAGCTTATTGTTTAATGGCAGAGAGGGGATGTGAAAAGTGACTATTTTAGATTTTCTAAACACCCAAATCATGTCGATTGAGCTGTTGAGTCCAGATATGTGCTTTCTAATGGAAACATTTAGACTCAAGCCTATTTCCAAAGATCAAAAACCAACAGTGTGTTCTTTAGTTTGGCTTCCCAGTGAGTCATTGACCAAATGTTTCTTTGTAGTTCTGTAATGTTTACAGTTCAGAAGAAGTGGGCTTGACAACCATGATGCATCCCAATGTCAGGCGTGTGGGTCTGCAGTTAGAACGGGTTTCAGCTTTCAGTGGGAAAAGCCCAAAGATGTTCACAGAGCACTTCAACACTGCCGACGCCTAAATGATTCTTCCTTTAATTTTTTGTTATCTGTTATTGTTTTAGAAATGCAAGCTGGAGTTCATTTCAATTGCCGAGCTGATCGATCACTACACGGAGACCCAGGACGAGCTGCCGTGTCTGCTGAGCTGTGCACGGGTGAACCACTGCTACGAGTGGGAGGAGAGTGCCCACACTGAGCCCACTGTGAAGCTGCACAGAAGCCCAAACAGAGTCAAAACGAAAAGCACACACTGACCGGAGTCGCTGGGGAATGGAGGCCGCCAACCTGTGTCGATGCAAAATAAGTGACAGGCATTTTTTTTTTTTTTTTTTTTTGACACTTGTGGTCATTTAAATCACGTGGCGTTGTGATGAGACTTCACAAACTAAACCTTTAATACAATGCACCTTTTGATGGTGTTGGCACTTATTGTAAATATCATATGCACCATTTTATCGGGGGTACTTATTTGTCAAAGGTGTTCTGTTTTGCTGCTTTTATGTTTTTCAATGTAAAATTTGAAAATGTTTTTATATATTTGCCTGTGAGGCATCAGGGTGTCTTTGTTTTTTACGTGAAACTAACGACTTCAAGTTGTGTTGTGAAAGTGATGGCCAAGCCCTAACTTCTTTTTTCCCCCCCTCCCAAATGATCGTGGATGCAATTCCGATTTGTAATCTTTTTTTTTTTATTGTTCTTATCTTTCACAACATATTCCAGTTTTTGTTTTAGAAATTGAGTTGTACTACAGACCTCGATTTCTAGTTAAAAACTTGGTTGTGTGGATTTTACTGCTCATACAGTTCAGAGTAAGGATTTTAGAAGAGAGGCCGGGATATTCCTGTGCAGGATATGTTAGGATGATGCTGTTTATCTGTCTAAGCCAACAATGTCCAAATATTTAATTCCTGCTGAACAATAAATTGTGGACTTTCTCTTTTTAGTCCACACACTGAACCATTGCAGTCTCATCAATATGACTAAACCGTGGAACAAATAACAGTTGTGGTTCACACTGACTGTATGCAATCCCGATTTCTTTTTTATGTTTTTATTTATTTATTATTATTATAGAACCACCCAATATACAGAAAGATGTACCCACTTTGTGAGTGGAGGTAAATATTGGGGGGAAAAACGACTCAATTGGAGAAAAATACGACTCAAGATAATTTCAAGTGTTTGCTAAGGATTCTTCGTGATTAATGGCACACAAATGTGAATTGAATGGTCAAGTTTCAGAAGGCTTCTCATTTCTGGGCTCCCTCTTGTGACCCGTCTCAGCTCTCCACAAAATGGCGACCTCCCAAACAATTTCGTCCAGTTACAGTTATTTATGGTTGCTTGGCAACCTCATACCGTCGTGGTGAGTGGAGCAGTATGGAAGACACGGAACGATATTTAACCAGGTCTGTCGACACTCCGTTTAAAAGAATTGCATATCTGCTCCTTTGTGTGATTTAAAAAAAAAAGTATTTTACATCTTGGCTGGTGGATACTAACTTCAGCCCTGATACGAGCTGTTTTGTGGGACACGTGATTGTTGTGTTAGCTTATGGGGACCCTGCTGGCGGCGCACATCTGCAGGGATGTGGCAGAAGAAGCTAATTATGTGTCTAACAATTTCCTTTTTATTCTGTATCTACAGCTGGAGCATGGAGTGACGTGGGAGACATGGGGTCAGAGTCTGTGAAGGTGGTGGTCAGGTGCAGGCCCCTGAATGACAGGGAGAAGGCTCTCAGCTCTAAGGTGATCCTGTCCATGGACCTGCACCGTGGCCAGTGTTTAATCTCCAAACCCGGGGCGGGAGACGAGCCCCCCAAACAGTTCACCTTCGATGGGACCTACTACATCGATCAGACAACTGAGCAGATGTACAACGAGATTGCATATGCTTTGGTTGAGGTAAGGTTTTTTATTTTTCCGCATTACATAACCGGCATACTTGTCACTTGATACCATCATTCAAGCACACCTCATTGTCATCAGTGTTTTTTTTCTTTTACAGGGTGTCACTGAGGGATACAATGGCACAATTTTTGCCTACGGACAAACTGGAAGTGGCAAATCTTTCACCATGCAGGGGGTGTCTGAGCCTGCAGCCCAGAGGGGCGTCATCCCCAGGGCTTTTGAACACATATTTGAGAGCATTCAGGTATGACCAGAAGTCTTCTCCATGTTCCTTGTTTTTGTCCAGACTTGTCTCGGCTTCATTCGGTGGGTGGGAGAATAATTGTGTTATGTTTGTGTGCAAGCCAGTGTGCTGAAAATGCCAAATTCCTTGTGAGGGCCTCTTACTTGGAGATTTACAATGAAGAAATCCGAGATCTTCTGGGAAGCGACACTAAACAGAGGATGGAGGTTAGTTTCTGTTGTTTCAGCAAACAAATCAAGCTTCTCTGTGTGTAAGAAGAGAAGCCAGAGGGATTATTGTCCTCTGCCAAGTAAAATAATTACAAAACCCAACTCATGCGCTGCACAGAGAGCTTACGTCTCCTCACAATACTTACTGCGCATGTTGCCATGGTGACTTAAATGATTCCTTAAAGGTCAAGGTGTCTGTACAGCGTGACAGATTTTGACCAAGCGTTTGTGTGTTTGTGTGTGTGTGGTTTTTTTTGTGACTGATGAATACCAAGCTGAAAGAGCATCCAGAGCGTGGAGTGTACGTGCGGGACCTCTCCATGCACACCGTGCACAGCGTGGGAGAGTGTGAGAGAATCATGGAGCTTGGCTGGAGGAACCGGGCAGTGGGATACACGCTGATGAACAAGGACTCCTCCCGCTCCCACTCTATCTTCACCATCCATTTGGAGATCTGCAGCACTGGTAAAAAAAAAAAAAAAAAAAAAAAAAACATGTTTTAGGAAAAACTAACAGGCTCCCTGCTCGCCATAAAGTTTTTAAGTATGCAGCCTGTGCATATCTATTTAATTAAAGTCCATAAACTCTTAAGAGTCCTGCTAAAACATCCAGGTTTGGATGGATGTCTTGCAGTAAGATTTAAATGGTCCCGGAAAGAAAGAGAGGGGGCAGAATATAACGGTTGAAAGCTGTTTTTTTCCCGTCCGTCTCCCAGGTGCGGACGGCGCTGACCGTCTGCGCGCCGGGAAGCTCAACCTGGTGGACCTGGCGGGGAGCGAGCGGCAGTCCAAAACGGGGGCCACCGGGGAGCGACTCCGCGAGGCCACCAAGATCAACCTGTCCCTCTCCGCCCTGGGCAACGTCATCTCGGCCCTGGTGGACGGACGCTCCAAGTACATCCCCTACCGGGACTCCAAGCTGACCAGGCTCCTCCAGGACTCGCTGGGAGGAAACACGCGCACCCTGATGATCGCCTGCCTCTCCCCCGCCGACAACAACTACGAGGAGAGCCTGAGCACGCTGCGCTACGCCAACCGGGCCAAGAGCATCCAGAACAGGCCTCGGATCAACGAGGACCCCAAGGACGCCCTACTGCGGGAGTATCAGGAGGAGATCAAGAGGTTGCGAGCCCTCATCACCGGCCAGCTGGGCACCGCTGGCCGTTTATGTAAGTCCACAGTTTATTTTTCTTGTTCATGTTTGAAATGATTCAGATGTAGAGACTGAGACAGCTTTCACATGCAAGAGCTGGATGTTTTTTTTTTCTTTTCTTCTTGTGGTCGGTCTCCAGCTGCTCCGACGAGGCAACAGTCCAGCGCCACCGGGGAAAAGAGAGAGAAGATTAAAGAGGCAAATACACAGCCTTCCCACACCAGCATTTCTCCTCCCTTCCGTGCGTGCATTGTCTTCGCACCGGGCGATTTATGGGTTTGAATTCCTGTCCCCGTTCTCTGCAGGAGTACGAGGAGAAGCTGGCCAAGCTGCAGGCCGAGTACGATGCGGAGCAGGAGACCAAGGCCAAGCTGCAGGAGGACATTTCTGCTCTGCGTAGCTCCTACGAGTCAAAGCTGGAGAGGGTCCAGGCCAGCAGGGGGAGCTCCGCGCCCAGGAATGGTACCGGACAGCGGCCGGCCCCATCCAGAGCCAGTCAAACCAAATGATTTCTGGACGTTTGTTGTGCTGTTTTTTTAAACTGTGTCATTTGCCCGCAGCAGCCAGCCCGCGCTGTACCAGTAGGGCCTCTGAGGACCGCAGCCCCGCCTCTGACCCCCTGGGCCGCAGTTCACCTGGAGCCCTGGAAAAGGTATCGCCCACCGCCGCCGTCCGCTACAACCCCGGGAGAGTTTCAGTTTTGAAATGAGTGTGAAAAAGCATACTGTCTGGGATGACTTCTCCCCCTCATGTTGGTGAGCCAGTCCGCCGTGCCCGGGGCTGCCGGCGCCGTCCAGAGAGATCCAGCTGGACACGGGGCCGCTCAGTCAGCTGAGGGCGACACATCCACACCCCTGGACCCCAAAAACGTCTTGGAAAGGTATGCAACATGTGACGATTGAGTTTTATTTTTTTAAGGCAGACAACGGTTTCTAAAATATTCATTATTCAGATGGAAAAGATGACCGCTTTGCAGCTCCATTTTTTTCAAAGGTAGACCACAATTTTTAGTATTTAACTTGATCGTTGAAGCTGAAAGCAACAGAGCAGGTTTTCAAGCGTATACATTGTGAGGAGTATAAACATTGCACATTTACAGGACTTAAAAAAAATCAAAATGTGCCAATGATAATCAATTATAACATGCTGCCTTCCTCCCGATTCCTCCATCTCTGGCCAGACTGCAGCAGCTGGAGAAAGAGGTGGTGGGCGGGGAACAGGCCAGGAACAAAGAGCTGCAGCAGAGGCACCGGCAGAGGAAGACCCTCGCTGACCAGAGGAAAGACCGGCTCATTGTGGCTCTGTCCGAGGACGGCGAGGAGAGTGAGAGTGTGCTGCTGGAGGTGTACGACTCAATCCAGGAAGAAGTCCACGCCAAAAGAAAGATGCTCCTCAGAGCCCAGGGAAAGGTGAGCCAGGACCAACGGGAGAGCCTCAGTAGGGATGAAAACAGGTTCAAGGTTTTGAACCTTTTTCCGTGAGTTTTCTGTGAGCTATCGCTTTCTTAATAATAGGAATGAGTACAGTTAACTACAGTATGAAATACAAAACATTCTGCTGAAGACCACGTTTGTACTCTCATCTGAATTCTCATTTGAATTATCCAGATTGTCGCATAACCATCGAATCTGGCCCATATTTCAGAGCGTATTTCATTAACTTTCTTAACCAGCAAAACAAAGCTATTCTTTCTCTTTGGGGATTGGAACATTTGTTCTGTTAAAATAGTTTTTATTACGCATACGCGTACAGTAGACATTTGGACCACCGGGCTCTGGATTCCCCCCCACAAAAGTGAAGCGGTGAGTGACTCTGGATAAAGTGAAATATTTTTAACGCCCCGCCCTCCGAACCAACGCACAGCTGAAAGCGGCCAAGCTGGAGATCCGGGACCTGCAGGCGGAGTTCGAGGTGGAGCGGAACGACTACCTGGCCACCATCCGGCGGCTGGAGAGGGAGGGCCAGCTGCTCAGCGGGCTGCTGGAGCGCATGGTGCCGCTGGTGCGCCGCGACTGCAACTACAGCAACCTGGACCGGCTGAAGAGGGAGGCCGTGTGGGAGGAGGACGGCGCCACCTGGAGGCTGCCGGAAGTGACGGTGCAGAAGACGGCCCTGCCCTCAGGTGGGGGGGCAGCAGCTACTTTTCTATAGTTTCTTTTAAATATCGTCTGAATCTTTGTTTCTTTTTTTTACAGCGGTGGCTCCGAAACTCCAAACTCGCAAAGGGTCTTGTCCGGACGCGGGAGAGCTGGAGGTTTGAGAGGACTGATTGTGGATTTAAAGGCGCCCCGGGCTGGAGGTGCAGGCGCCGGCTCACCGCTGTGTGGCTTTGCAGGTAGGAGAGGACCGGTACAAGGAGATGCTGGATCGGAGGGACAGTGAGAATGTGGCCAGCAGCTATTTCAAGTCGAAGAGAGCCAGCCAGCTGCTGGCCGGCGATGGCGGAAAGGCTCACGGTGAGACACGGAACCGCTCTAACACACATTCACTCAGGAATGGTTGTGAATTAATCATTTCTGAAATATTCTCTCAACATTTTGGTGGTTTCTCTCCCTACACCCCCCCCACCCCCCAGTCAGCGGCTCCACCATGAACCCTCCCGTCAGCTCGGACCCTTTCCTGCCTCGTCCCTTCCGTCTGGAGTCTCTAGATATCCACGTGTCCAATGGGAAAGCAAAGCGTAAAAAAAGCAGGCCTCACATCCACAGTGAGGGCCTCTGACTGGCTTTTCTGATCACTACCTACCACCTGGAAGGACTGGAGTCTGGGCGCTGTCAAAAGAAAGAAGAAAAGAAAAGAAAAAAAAAAAAAGCAGGTTTGTTAAGCTTCTGTGAAAGGCGATTTCTGGTATTTTTCCGTCGGTTCTTTTTAAACTACATTTGCAGCTTTTCATTTACTCTCCAAAAAGAAAACCTATTCATCTGAACTCTAATCTGAAAACAATGATGGTGAAGGCGTCCTCAGGCATTGTGCTGGACAGGTTTGTGGTGGAACTCTGGTAACACGGGGTCAGGTTATCAAGCTGCCGGGAACCCACTTATCTCACGTTACACATGAACTCAGCTCTGGACACTTTGTAGTAAACTGAATCTGAGCCAAAAGGATGTACATTTATTGTAAATCATCAATAAATCTGATCTGAGATTCAGTTTTTCCATCACAAATGTTTTTGTTTTTTTGGTGGGTGCACCCATCACGTCAATCCATACTGCCCCAAACTTTTCAGCCCCAGTTTCTTTTTCCTCTTTTTTTTATGGGCTGTGTGGAGACATACAGGATACAGGCCCCCTCAACCCCAAACCATCCAGAAATCCTCCTGCATGGTGACCTGACATCTGTGACCCAGCAGTAGGTGAAGTATGGCAGTGAGAGTGTGGGGCGTGGTGACACCGGCAGAGCAGGCGAATGAAAGCGCCGCGCGGCTCCGTTTGCACGCAGGTGGAGCTTAAGCTAATCGGATAATGACGGGACAGCTGAGCGGGCTCTCTCATCAGAGAGTGGCTTGTAAGATGAGCAGCGTGGCTGATGGCCGTCCTGTAACGGGAGCGCTGAGGCCCGGAGAGCCCGCGGGTCACTTAAAGCTTAATCAAATTACACTTTAAACAATCAATATGGGGTATCCATGGTAACGCCTTGGATAGTAGGCGGCAAATAAAAGAAACAACACCTCGGTGCAAAATGCGATGCTGTATTTAGGCTTTGCAAAGATTTCACTGTACAATGAATTAAAATGTTGTTGATATAAAAAAAAAAAGATGTTTAAGAATGAACCCTTGTGAGAGCACATGGCTCACGTATAGAGTAGAAATCATGATGGAAAACCGGATCACATGCTGGAGATGGTTCATAAAACTCTGCCTGATCACCCAAACATTGTTTAAATGTTGCCTCTCGCTACTAAAATAAAAAGCACGGAAACTAGTTATTTTCCCCGAAAAATCACTTGCAGGCACGTCTGTGAATCTAAAACAATCAATAACAGCTTTACACGCTGTTGTCCTACATTTGTGCCCTTTTGTTTCCTCTCAGGGATTCTCTCTGACTGCCCTTCATTACTGTGACAGTGAGATGATTCAGTGGTATTTACAGTCAATGTTCAATAAACAGGAGGAACTTCGGGGGTGTGGAAGGGGCAAGGCATGTTTTCAGTAGTAATGAGTTTGGAGGGAAGAGCTGCCCCTGAATCAGTGGGTGTGTACAGTCAGAATGGTCTTTGCTGGTGTTTCCCTTTCAATTATTTTGCCGCGAGTTCTCACTTCATACCGAAACCCTCTCTAAGCCGACGGGACCCTGCAGCTCCTCTGAGCACCGCATGGACTCCGGCTTGTTTACCGGCCTCCTTCCTTCAGGAGTCCAAGTTTTCTGAGCGCCTCCTTCCGGTCGGCTCCCATCCCGGGCACCACCACTACGGAGTACCCCACTGAGCTGGCGGTGCCGGGGGGCACAGACGTGGCTGCTGGGAGGTTCTGTGGTTGGGGGCAGGTTCGTCCGTCGGTGTCTAGGCTAGCCGAGCGGCCCAGAGCTCCGGCCCTCCACCCGCCGCCTCCAGCCGGATGGCGTGGTGCGGGCTGTTGGCTCTGTCTGGACGGGTGGTGGAAGCTGGCGCTGCCCTGCAGAGGCCGGCCCGTGGGTTCCGTGGGGGCTTGGGAAGAACAAAAGGACGGGCTCCTTGTTGGATTCCAATTGGAGGGACCTCTCGTAATTCTGCTTGGTGTTGGATCCAAAGACGGTGGAGGTTTGCCGGGAGGCTGAGGGGATTTTTCCCCCTTCGGCAGCTTTTGATTTCTCAGGAGGCCGAGCTTCTTCAAAGCCTCCAGTCGCACCACCTGGGAATCTGCTGCATGCGAGACACTGCAGGAGACGTCTGGCATCATGGATCCTCCGTTTAGGGTTTTCACAGATATGTTGGGAGGGGTATATTTGGGTTTGGGTGCTACAGCAGGGGGGCCTGCTTTAGACCTGGAAACCTCTGAGTGGGATTTGTTAGAGCCGTGCAGATCTCCGCTGTTTGGGTTTTCTTTTGGGGCGTCGTGGTTTTCCTCCAGATCTATTGTGTGATCAACCGTGGGACACAGAGGGGTCTTCTTATTGGAGGCGGTCCGCCGCAGATGGACGAGTGCGTCATAGGACAGAGGTCCTCTGAGTAGAGGAGCCTCAGCTGTCCTGGCTGAGGGGTCTTTGGGCTTTGTGGCGTGTGGAATCAGCACGTGCACCTCCAGAGGTACCGGTGGGTGTGTCTGCTGGACACTCTGTGCTTTGTCTGCCCAGGCGACCGGCCTCGTGCTGGCAACAGAACAGGGAGGACTGCCTGCCACGACGAGCGGCGTAGGAACCAGGTAACTGGGCATGGGTTTGGATTCAACATTTCTCTTTATGGGCTCTTTAAAAGCGGGTTTCTGTGAACCTGTGAAACAAAACAACACATTTGTTGTGAGGAATGTCTTTAAGAACTACTGCTGGGCATCATTAATTAGGCGTCTGTCCTCTGAGATTAACTCACCGTCGAGCTTGGTTTTGCTCATGGAGGCTGACAGGTCAGCCAGTTTGGTTGCAAGGCTGCCAGGGCTGGGCAGTTGGTCAGGTTCGTCATTAGAGAGCCCACTGTCCTCTTCGGTGTTTAAAGACTCGATGGTCTCCTCCAAAAACATGAGACAGGCCTTTTCTTCGGCAGACAGGTGCTCCAGACTGTCATCGCTCTGAAAGACAAACATCTGCGGTGTATCGCTGGTTCTAACGACTTTACATGATAAGCCGCAGAAGAAGATTTGTGGATGAAAAAGGATGAGTCGGTCACTTACAAAGCCAGAATTGACGCTGACAACACTGTCACAGCTGCCGGCACTGTCCATGCCATTCATCGTCTCCAGTCCAGCGCCACCTGGCCAGGTGTCACTTTTGGGCATCTTAGTGTCCTACTTATCCAGGGTGAGCGGCGGGATTTGTCGTATTACTCTTTAAAAAGAGAACACACATTCAGAGAGTGAAACTCTTCTCAAAGGAAAATATTCAAAATGGAGTCAAAATGGTGATATTATTTCTGTTAACTGTGTCAAATAAGTAATAGTTCAGATCGTTTGCACAAGGGTGACATCTTGAAATCAGAAAAAAATGTGATAATGAATAAAGAATGCTTACGTGCATGTTTTACTGTTTCTTATTGTTGACCCGAATAAAAACTTCAATTTCTACCATCACATAACCTTTCTGTGAGACGGTACATCTTTATCCACTTTATTAAAATTAGAATCGCCATCCAACATTTTCAAGCTGCACGTATTTGGCAAAAGCTTTGCATATTTAAAGTCACAGACCACTCAAAGCTCTTTTTAGCGTTGCCCTGGAAACGGCTACCGGGTTTGCCTGTTGCATCAGAAATCTGTCCTACACTGTCGCATCGTTGGTGCCACATAAACACGGCAGGTTTCCGATCTGCTACCCTCAGTGTGAGTGACTCACATCTAACTCGCCATCCCCGTTGCATGTGACTTGGATTACAGCACACATGGCACTCCTAATCTTCCTTTCCCGGATCAGTTTCAGAGGAAGAGGAGGGGAGCAGCAACGAGCCCTTGGAAGCTATACGATATCCACCTTGACCAGGACCCTACTGTAACTTTGTTGTATTCAAATATTTTCTGGTGTTTCTTTAGATGTGTTTTCCACAGAGAAAAACTAATGTTAGTTTTTTAGAGTTTATGCACATACACTGTTTGGGCCTCTTTGGATAAAGATCTGACCATGACTCTTTTTTTCCCCCAGATCAAACTCATTTTAGAGAATTGATGCGTTTCTCTGATAGTCTTTCCTGGCCACAGCTTGTGTTTCAAGATAAAGAAGCCAGTGTCTGATCCTTAAGGGGGAAAAAAAATGCACCTTTGGATAAATTTCACCACCTGAGAGGCATGGGCTGCGGGTAGACCAAAGGAAGCACAAAGGCGGTCTTGTTCAGTGTCCCTGATTTGCAAGGTCAGACAACCCCTGTAAAACTGTATCGGCACAACATTATGCAATGGTTCCCATTCCTCTGGATGCTCAGCGGTCAGTGTTTGAGAGATTGTAGATAATGTTTTGTCTAATTACTGTCCCATGAAAAGGACACACTCTGCTGTGTCCTGCAGTTACTTCAAATTAAATGACTAATTATTAATAATATAATTATGATGAAGCATTATTGACTCACTGTTGGATTTTTATTATTTTTTAAATTTACAATTACATTAGCTTACAATAGAAAATATGACTATTTGGGGATTTCGCCATCCCCCTCACAATGACAAAAGACAAATTTATCTCTATTATCTTCAAATGCCATATACTTATCAACACAGTAGTCAAAGCTAAAACCAAATATGTTATGTAAAGGTTAATGCCATAAACAAACTCCTTAGAACATATCGTCTCTTTTCCAATTACACAGTGACCTCCTGCTGTTGGTCGTGGCTGTAAAACAGCAGCTGGCCAAGCTCCTCTTATCTACATGCACTGTTTGATAGATGTTATGTAATGCAATACAATAAATCATTCATGTTTCCTAATCTTCATTATTGTCCTCGGTTTTTTTGTTTAAACTTGATTAGCTGGAGCACAACACTCTTAAACCAATGGCTGCTCAGAGTCTGATTTCACTTGATGTGGAATCAAATACAAAACTTACAAAATATCCACAAAGATATACGTTTGTGCAAACCCTCATGAATTCTTTAGGTGGTTGGAATAAACGCATAGGTTATCGCAGCACGATTAATATTGAGTGGAAATATTAAGAAGCTAGCTTGGCAGTCGCAGTGAAAAAAAAACAGAACAACAACTTTATAGACAATAAGTCAAAGCAACACATAGGACTCCGAACAAATATACCTACTGAAAAAGTGCCTAAAAGTGGTTCATGGAGTTATTTATCAGAGTTACACTCTTTTACATGCATTTCTAAGAAGATTTACTTCATACAAAGATTATTAAGAAACGTTTAAAACCGAACTAGCGGACTGTACCTGTTTGAGGCTCCGTACAGTCGCCAGGTGGAACTCTCATCTTCAGGTCCGCGTGCAGATAAAGGCGTGATGAGCGCGAGCCTCCGTGACACCTGCATGGACTTTGTGCCCTAAGCTTTTAGCCAATCAGAGAGCAGCATTCTCCTTAAGACTCGACGTGCTGACCGGCGTCCGTAATCTGTTTGGCCGCTGCTACGAGGCAGCGATTTGACCATTGTTGCTGTCCTTATTGTTATTCTTTAGTTATTTGTTAGTTTTCAGAAAAGTACGCTCTCAATTCAATATAACTTTATTATTCCCTGACTGGAAAAGTTGTCAATAAATCAGTTGTTAATAAAGATATGCTTTCTCAAGTGGGTAAGAAAATAGGATGTAAATCAGATGACAAACATGTCAGATTATATGAACAGAAAGTCACAGCTAACAGTTCAACATTTGAGGAGCAGGTTTACACCATTTTTAGACAAATCTTTCCTCTGTCACCGCTTTGATCTCACTTAGCATTCTGGATCCTCTTTAAACTGACTTGATTTGAGTTCTTTTTCCAGTCATATTTGCAAGATGGAAAGATCAGTTACCTTGATGTTCTTGTTGCTATGGTTATGCATCATATCAGATGTGAACAATGGCCATAGTTACCAATACAAAATCCTTCCAGCAGCACAACAGTAAAACAAACCATTTCTGTAAATGATCTTTAGAAGAAAAAAAAAGTCCCCACAATAAGAGCTTGGGGATATTGCTTCAAACTATTCGTCACACTAAATTCTTTCACCTATATCTGAGCAGGGAAAAACGGTGGTTAGGATTTGGCTGAATGTGAGCATTGACTAGTTGGTAACTGCTATTCAAATGAAAATAGGCTGTTTTATTTTTTCATAATTAGATTGAAATGTGTGCAGTGGCATGGCAGCTCTATAAGCACAGAAATTAGTTTTGGAGGAGCAGTGTCTATGATTGTGTACATTCACAAATATCTCAAACAAAAACAATTCAATAAACAATATTTCAATGTTTTGTCTTCCATCATCTTTAATGGAAAGCAACATTAAAACTGTTTAAACAAAGACACACAGGCACCACACTGTTGGCTATAACTTTTAATTGTGACAACACTGAGAAAAAAAAAAGAATCAAGTAAATCCAGTAATTCCATAGTGCTTTGTGTGAAACATTCACCATTGTTAGTCTGAGAACTTTGTTAGATGTAAACAAACTGTTTTAGTGTCACCTTTTTGCAAGTCGATACTTGAAAATCACTGTAAAAAAAAAAAAACACTTTCATATGGAGATTTCACATAAAAAGGAACATTTTTGCTTGGCTTCTCATTTATTCCCAACCCCATTTAAAAGTAAACCAAAAGATAAAATGATCAAACACTCCAAACAATTCTTCCACTGTTAAACCTTTGGCAACAACTTAGGACCAATAGTGCCGTCTAATGTATTTGAAACAGAAATACTGGCTGTGCACCACTAATCTCATCAATTTGTTCGTAACCTGCTCGGTCAAACATTTCTGACATAATTAATTTTACTGCAAGCACGCACACAGAGATGATGACTTCAACTCAAAACATGACAACATGTTCCAGTTGTGCATACATACAGTGAAACAGTGCTAATTAAAAACAAAGCGATACCCAACATATTAACCCGGTAAGATCTGAAGGCACAGCATCAGAACTTAACCTGCTTAGAAACCCTAAATCAGACAGCCCAACCTGATTGTGATGCGAACAGGTCAGTAGTTGTGGATGGTAAAATGCACCTGAAAGAGAAATGTGAGCAGGCGAGTAAAACTAATCTCAGACAAGATGCCTCCTCACACTGGTTTCAGATTTCGCACTAATACGCCACATCTCTCCTTTCTGTCCATTCTTCTTTGTAAAATATATGCAGCAATTAAAAAACACTGAGAGAGTAAAAGTTTGTTTTACAGCATGATGACGTAAAGTTTGCACACTGGGGTTAAAAGTAACGCTCCTCAAAAAAATAAACCCGTCCAGTGAAAACGAGTTACGAGCTACAGATTTTGGAAAATATGTCTACGTCAATGACGTCTTTACATCCAGTAAAAGGTACTCGTTGATGAAGAATAAGAAAAGAGACAAAATACATTTTTGGACCACAGTTTGTTAAACTATATTGAACTTCAGAATGCGTAATCTCAGTGACCACTGCTCAGTGGATTCAGACCAGCTTCACAGATGACTCCAGATAAGCATGGACACGAGCTACGCACGCTGGACATTTATACGGCTGAGCGTAAACAAGCAATCCCACTACAGGGAGGATTTCAGGTTGAACTTAAATGCTACAAAAACCGACATGATGAATAACAGTCATACTTGCTGTGCTGTGTTTAAGACAACAGTGAGTGGGACCACATTGCAGCGCAATTATTTCTTAGTGGTTGTTTAAAAAATCCTTTGTAGAGAGACTTTGTAGAGTCTCCGGCTTACAAAGGTTTGCTCAGACACTTGGTTAGTAGTGGCAATGTGGTGATTTTCCGCTCAACATTTGTTTGTCGACAGAGCAAAACAACGCCAAGAAATTAGTCTGCATATCTTACTTGACCCAGTTTAATAGATTTGTAACCATCTCTAAAGGACTAACATGATGGTTTAGTGACATCGGAGATTCGCAGTGACGTTTCAGATTTTCAGCAGTTAAAACGTAATACTTAAAAAGGCTGGAGGCTAAATGAAGCATCTGCAGATTCTCCAAAGACGTCACTGGGCAATGTGAGGTAGAGGATCACACAAGTAGACAAACCAACAGTTTCCAGACAGGGTGTAGGGGGGTGGGGTGGGGTGGGGGGGTAGATGGTTGTTGTATTCGTGATAGGAAAAAAAAAAAAGGTCACACTTCTCCAAAGTTGGTGTGGCCCGTCTCCTTGGCGTGCTCACGAGCTTCCTTCTGTCCCACCAGGCCCGTCTGACACACCATGCAGCGCAGGGAGAAGCGGTTAACGTCCGTGAACTGGCGCTTGCGGCGCGCCTCGTCGGCCAACTCGAGGGCCTGGGCCAAGATTATGTCGTCTGTGGTGGAGAAGATAGTCTGAGGCGGGCTGTCAGAGGCGGGGATCTCTTTCTGCAGCGGGTCATAGTGAATGCCGTCGTAGATGAGCAACACCCGTTTGTGGTAGCCGGCGTCCTCTCCGAACCGATCAACTCGGACCGTCTGAGTGTCCACCACGCAGATCTCGCACTGGTAAAACTTGGAGAGGATGGACACCTCGATGGCACCCCCCCAGGTGTCATCGCGCTTTATCCAGGAGCAGTACTCCTCGTTGGTTTTTCCCAGCACAGCCTCACAATATGCGGCAGGGTCACTGGATACGATCTGAGCGATAAGGCCACGCATCTCGGGGGCACAGGCAGGGTCATACACACCTCCTTCCACCACATAATAAACACTAGTGAAGAGGCAGGAGTTGTCAGCGGGCACGACCCGACGTTTCAGCACAGGGGGCGATTCCAGACGTGGGACCTTTGCTGTGGGGTGTTCTGGAGGAGGCTTTGGCTTGTTCTTTTCCTCCTCAACAATGAGTGTGTCTCCTGTGTAGGATGACACACAAACAACACATTATCGTTCTCTTTCAAGAGTTGTTTTTTTTATTTATTTTTAACTAAACTCTCTTTACCTTATCATGAACTTCTATAAGAGTCGAGTGTTTACTGTCTTTAAGCTGAGCAGCATTTGTTTATGGTAACAGCTAATGTTAACCAAAAGTGTTAATGTCAGCACACTGGAAAGCATACATCCACTTTTTTGGGCTCACTGGTACATATTTTTTTAATTTTTTTTGCCGTCTGAAGCATACCTGATTTGATGGGGTAGTCCTTTAGATGAGCATCTCCATTTTGTAGATCGAGACAGGATGGTGGGTAACCCACCATTATTTTCTGCACATCACAGGGGATCCCTGTCAACTCCTCCACCTTATTCTTAAGCTCCTGCACACAGGACTGATGAGTCAAGCCCTGCATTAGATGGCTCCCGTTTTTGGTCTTACAGCGAAGCCGCAACATCCTGCCTGTAAAAACATGTGATGTTAAATCTGTATCGCATGATTTGTTACGAATGCCAATACACACTGACAGCACAAAAATCACGCTGACCACTTGGTTGTGCTCACTGTGAAAAAGTGGCTCAGGGAGGACAAGATTTTTTTTTTTTCTTTACACATGGATTTCCTCCACCGTACCACCCATAGAAAACATTTGGGATGTGATAATGTATAACATGAAAAGTAAATGCTCTGTAAGAAATATATATTAAATGAAATTGCATAACGCTTAACGTGTTGGATCAGAAAAGCTAGTGTTTGTCCAAAATGTATTCGAGTAAGCTTTTATTCTAAACATGATTACTATTTGAAAAAGCAGTAAACCAGCTATTCTGTTATTTAAAGTTGTCATTAAATAATTAAGATACACAAAAAATCGTCTTAGCTGTTGAAAAGAAAACAAAAATAAATAAAAAAAATATTTTATACATTTATTTTAGGCCCTATAAAACTATTTACACAAGCATAAATATAGTCAAACAGCTGTAGTATGATGGGTCTACTTTGGGGATGTGACTGCTTAACCATATGCTGTAAGATTTAGCAATAGTAGCTCGGTGCAGCTAATGCTAACTCTTCAACAACGGTAAACATCAAAGTGCCACTAAACTGTGCTGATAGCTGGCATTATCCAGACAAGGCAGCGGATAACAACTGAACTGCTGACGAACAGTACAGCAGTAAAACACCTGACAGCGTCATTGCTTTGTTTTGGCTTCTTTGTTCTACTTGAAAAAAATCGTGCAACGGATAACAGACAGCTTGTTATGCTAACACATAAAGAATTGTAAGCGTTATGCTTTTCAAACGTTCGTTATGAGTAAAACAAAGTCGTATCACAACCAGATAATTGGTATCCAGGAAATGTATGACTGAAATCTTTTTTTTTTTTTTTTTTTAGTTTGATAAGTTTATGTTCAGCCTTGCTAACCAGATCGGTTATCATCTGCTAACGTTAGCCAGCTAACCTGGCAGTTCTCTTAACCTCCCCAAAACAAATTAAAGTTCAGCTTTCCCACAAACACCCAGTCTCCGATAACTTGTTGATTTTGCACTACGGAACATTTCAAAAACTTACATTTAAATAGTTTTCTTTTCTTACCTGCCGTTGACTGCAGCCCAACCTGCCTCAAACAATACAAATATAGTGGAGCTTGACGTCACCGTACGTCTCAGTGATGTCATGACGCTCCTGTCTGGTTGTAAGCGTGTCTGCCAAAGGCAAACAAAACGTCTGTAAAAGTCACAGATTTCTAAATTAAGCTTTTTCCTTGCTGGTGAACAAAATCACTAGACAAAAACAGTTTTTAGTCCTTTATATTAATGTCTTTACAGACAATGTTAATCTTTGCTTATCAATCACACATTTGTGATTGTAGAGAGAAATGGTAAATAGTTTTAATGAAAAAGTAAATGAAAAATAAAAAAACTTTCAAATCTCTCAGAATTCTTTGAGACAGAAGATTTGCTGGATGTTTCAATCGTGGATACTACAACAACTACTACTACTACTACTACTACTACTACTACTACTACTACTACTACTAC